CATTTAGTATACTATGACCATATTATTACTTTCTAGCACTCCGCGTGTGTGTCGGTACCATTCATCTCAAATCACAAATAGCAAAAATCTGCAATTTGAGCTGAACTGCTAAATTGTTCAAAGCATGTGACCCATGCTTGTACTTATGGAGGGTGAATATGTGTTGCATGTACAAAGGCTGAGGAGAGAGTCTAATGTACGCATACTTTCATTTACGTGACTTTAAATGGGTGAACTTTATTAGGCGGTATGGAGGTCAGCGAAATTTGCGTGAAAGGGCTGCCGCGGTAGGATGCTGAGTTTTTGCCTCCAAGACAAGAGTCGATATCCTAAAAGAACTCATGATGTAAAAAGATCCATCCTCCGGTGGCTACGAGCATGACACTTTGTAGGTCAGCTCAAACAAAAGAACATCGAGCAGTCGAGTGCGAAGCTCGTGGTCAGGACAAGAACATAGAACATGCCAACGGGGCCTATGCAAGCAAATCACATCCAGGACCGTATCCCCGTCGTCGCGTTGTTGCCCGGCTGGTGCACTTTAAATGGTCGAGTCGAGGAGGATGTCCGCCGACTCGACATCTCGGTTGCCACGTCATCCGCCGCACAAAGTGCACGCCTGTCCTTCTGCCCCAACGCCCCCCCCCCCCCCCCCCACCCCGCCCCTCTCTCTCGTCGCCATGCATGCAGTGTATCCGGTCGCCTCTCCCAACGGCACCCCTAACCCGTCCCGGTGCACTGTATGTCGTTGACGCATGTGGTTAATGTTGGAGCCCCTGCGGCAGCTCGCTCTCCTGGAATCTCCTCTCCAGCGTTTGAAGAAGGTGCGAGCGGAGGAGTTAACATTTCGTGTCCTTGTTTGGGTGGCAGCTGGTGTTCCCGGTGTTCGTCATACTCTTTGCAGGACGAGTGCTGAATCTTCTCCGGAGGTGCTCTTCTGCTTTGGTCCTGGGTTCTAGATGTGAACTCCCGTCAATCGTTCTACGGTACGATGGGCTTCCAGTCCTAATTTCTGCATGACCAGATGAATTGAACCGAAACATTGATGGGCTTCCGGTCCTAATTTCTGCATGACCAAGTGAATTGAACCGAAATATTGATTAACAAGTACGTGATCACCGAGATGGGCCCAAACGTACGGATGGGCTAGGCTCTCCACAGGTTCGGCAAGGTTCATTGAACGGACATTGCCACAACGTGATCGAGCGATCTCTCTCACAATACCTCCATGTGGAACTTGAAGTACAGCATCCGTGCTCTGGAGACGGGATTTCCTTGGACACTCTAATAATAAAGTATACTTGATTGCTATTCTTGGCTTCCAGACTTGCCATCTCTTGCACACTAAAGCACAATGCTGGATTTCAGGGACTCAGAATTTGCTACGGCCTGGACGTTTCATGCCTGATTTCGTTGCAAAATCAGGCATGAGATTGAATCCTGCATAGGGAATGAGAAATGATTTCTGACTTCTTTGAATCTGCCATGGTATGCATGCCACTTGCACTCGCATGGGTGTAGTGAGTTAGGATCTGCCTTTGGGTTAAATATCTTAGTCCAGAGTTCTCTTTTGTCCAGGTAAAACATGCATGTTGTAAAGAAGTGGTGTGACAAGTGCATTGAAGGATGATGCTCTTGTGCCTCGCCATGCACACAAATAATATTCTTCTCGAAATACACTTCTCAACTTTTATAATATATCATCTCAAAGCATTATAATATATTTGTGAGGAGGCATGGATGTGCGGTTTGTATAGGGTATGTCAGATATAATTGGCTCGGTGGACTTAGCACACGAAGCAGGACTTTTGGAAGAATGGTGTTGGTATACCTTCCCCTAAGACTATTACACCATCCATTTATGGTAGATCATATATTCGAAAATCGATTTATGGACATACGCAAGAGAGTGATCCTGAACGGCTAATTGGTCCATTATTTTTGCTAGCTTTTTCTTCGTCAACGACAGTGCTCCTCAGCCTAATTATCGCCGTTTCCTGATGCCACCTCTCGTCAGTATGAAGTGGAAGTTTTCCACGTGCCAAATGCCTCTGGATGGCATTTGGTCAAAATATTCAGTTTTGAAATGTTCAATTTGATCTGTCTAAAGACCACCCACCTCCACAGCAAACGTCATAACCTCCGTAATTGGAAAAGAGCACTGCTTCATGACGAATAATGAATGTTTCACATCACGCTATCCAACCAGCGCAAAGTTGAAATCCAATCCGGCCCACGTTCAGAGTCGTCGATCCGTTAATGCTGAACTGCAACTGACGATATTGAAACAAAGCAGAACGATACCGAAAGCTTTAGAATCCGGCAGCTGTTGACAGAGTGTCCAGCCAGAGATATCAAAAAGGTCCTCTCCTCGAAAAGCACAGAAAACATATTCATTCATGAGACTAGGATATGGGAGGGGCAAGAAGAATCTGAACCAGAATCCACAATCACAGCGTCAAATGAATTTTTACATCCGGTAAAGGATGCCTGACTTGTGCATGAGTTGTCAGCACCTTAAGACAGGAAAGTGATGAACCACATGATCCACGTCATTAAGCTGGAGCAGGAACTCGTCCATAGGGATGGGGCTAGATTATCAGAACACGGTGAACTTTCCTCTTATAAATAGTGGGGTGTGCCCTCGAGTTCTTGTCCCGAGAAGCCATGAGATTGGAATGCACATCGGCATATATATGGTGGTCTTATCTACTGTAGATCGCAACCAGTATGTGGACAAATGAGCGTTCAGTCAAATAATGAGGGCGCCCATCAGAATCCAGATTACACCAAAGTGATATCGTTGATGGGGAGAAGTTTCATAAGCCAGCCTCAGGAGAGTTTTGTGCGCTAATTTCCAGCTTGGAGGCTTCGTTTCGTCCTTCCTGCTTGGGTTGTGACCAAGTTGTGATTGTCAAGTGAAAGGCTGGCCTTGACCTCGTCAGAATCAGAACATCGTTTTGGAAAATGGAACACAATTAAGCGATGGAAGATCCATTTTGTAAAAAGTAACTGAGCTTTCAGCCATGTACAACATCATGACTTTGATTCAACCAACTCGATGTAGTATGGACAATGAAGGTTTTGGCCAGTTTGACAGCACTCATGACATGTGATAGTAGACAGAGGATGTTGCTCTAATGAAGACTCGTGCATACTCCAACTACCTCGTGCAATGGCTGAACACTTGGGCACTATAACCTGTACCTCCCCTGTGATGAACTTGTGAGGACAGAACGTAGAGATGGACGTATCGTGAAAGCATAGGCAACAGATGGGCCGGAGCTTCACGATGTTCGACTTGATGTACGAGTTCGGGTCCGAGATAATGAAAGCCACTTCATCCTTGACAATAAATCCCATTCCCTGGAGGCCTCTGAAGGTTGCTACTGATAGTGTAGTGACAGAGGTCCATTGTTTCGGTGGACCTCTGTCACGACACTATCAGCGGCTCGTTAGCTCTTGACACGATTGAGCTAACGTAAGTCGTGCGAAGTTCGCAGTGGTCCTCGATCCAACAGACCACTCACAGAGATCAAATATACCGACACTTGCACCGAGATATCTTCATATTCGTACAAAGGGTATCTTTACAATACACGTACCTGTCAGTATAGAATTATTGTTCAAGCACATTTCACTCACTTCTGTAAATTCATCGTTATCCTCAGCTCCCATCTTAAACCACTTGAATTTCACCGCCTTTGCAGAAAAATTATAATAGATGGCCAGTCATGTGATTACAGTCTTAAGTCTATATATATATATATATATATATATAGTAGTGCACTAACCCGAATTTTCCCGAGAATGGTCAAATACACGAAGCGTTTAGCACATTCATATCATATTCACAAATGTTTCTTCTAGAACAAAAATACAGCCCGATCCATGTCAAAGTGATGGGAAGACATATTTTACACACAAATATTTTATTACATGTCAAAAAAGGTGTACAGTAGAGAGAAGCGACAGGAAATCATGCGCGGCTGATGCGCAGCCTGGATTCATAGGATCCATTAGGGGGCCGAAGAAATTTCCGAATGAACCCTCGTCCAAATCCACGAAAAGTCCCCTCAGACATTTGGCATTTCAAAGTGTGCACCCTGTTGTTGGCATATGCCAACTTGAACCATCCATCTACCGGTTCTCCCGGTTTTATCTCGGATGACATGCACATGTTTGTAAAGTATCCTGAACTGTGAAGCAGCCGAGGACTAAAGGGAACAAACTTTGGTCCTTGACGCTTACAACAGGAAGTACTGCAACAGCTCGATAGGCACAGTTTGAGATAACCACAGATCGAGTGCAAATCCGATCCCTTCCTCATGCCGGTTCCATTGTCCACTAATTTCGTCCGGAGGTACAGCATTCCATGGTCACACGACATGAAGCAGGTAAACGATGCGGAGCTTTCATTCATGAAGAGAACATGCTCTCCGATACCATGAAGGCGGTGAAAAGAAGGATATACGACCATGCCGGGTGCAATTTCGCTCCGGTCCCGAAAATTTCGCTCCCAGAGAAATCATGAGAGCATTCCCGAAAATGTCTTGACTTCTGACAAACTCTATCCAAAAACAATAAGAAAGGCAGCGTAATATTATTTTCGCCGAAAACGAGGCCGTATCCTGCGAGCAGGATACGGCCTCGCAAATTACGGATGCGCACAAGTTCGTATCCAGGTTCAGGGAGTTCGTGTCGCGAGGAAGACGAACACGCCGTGCTCCTGTAAGGCGCGGCCTGTGAGCGTCGCCGGGAACACGGTTCTCGTACCGAAGAGGAAGGGACGTGTAGGACAAAAAGTGCCACATGGCGAGGATCGCAGCCAGCAGTGCGTTCCAGACAAGATGGCGCGCCGCTTGGCTTGCGAGGCTGAGGCCAGGTCTGACCCGGCAGTGCGTTCTTGTAGCGGAGGGCGCCGGCTCTTGCACGGAGGGGAGGCCTCGAGGGAAGAAGTGGATCGAGCCCCGAGAGCTCGACATATAAACTCGAGGCAGCGCGCCCCGTGAGGCATGAAGGCCCAGCCTCCGACGGGCAATGTGGTGCTGCGACATTTGACTTCGCGGTTCGAGGAAGTGTGGGCGTTCGAATTTTTGACTCGGCGCAGAGCGATCGCCGGTCTTGAGAAGAAGAAGACTAGGACTTCCGGGATTCTCAGGATTTTTCGGAGAGCAGAGCAAAGGAGTGGAGAGGAGAGGAGACTGATTGATTGATTGACTAATTGACTGATTCTTTCGAAGAGAACCAGGATCAGTGGAAGCTTCCGGCGATTCTGTCTTGCTGAGTGCAGTTTTAGAACGCCAGACTTTGCCTGCATGGTCTCATCCTGAGACTCGCACCGGAGACCGAGAGAGGCTTTAAGTGTTCTGGTTGTGTGAAAGAACGATTCAAGCGGCGATTGGATAATACAATTTGCAGTGGGTGTAGGGTCACTCGAAGTCCGAGGGAGGAGAGAGGAGGAAAGAGTGATTTGTTTCCACGAGTTGGAAGAAGGAAGGAGAGGGAATAGAAACATAGCGATGGGATGCGTCGATAAGGTTCTTGCACTTGGTGCACATCCCTTCAACAGGGTTGACTTGCTCTTGAGAAACTCCGGAGGCAGTGCGGTGATTGATGGAGGTTTCGCAGTACAGTTGGAGCACCATGGTGCAGAAGTGAAGAATCCTCTGTGGACGGCATTATGCTTAATCACGAGTCCGGACCTTGTCAGTCGGGTAATGCGCTGCTTCGAAATGCGCCTTGTTCTTAGTATTCTTGGTAGATTCAGCTGTCTTGCATTTGATTTGCCTGCGAGAGAGCTCTATGATTTGAAAGTCATATGAGAATCCATGCTTTACCCTTGTCGTATAGTAATTTTGGACTTTCCACTGTTTTTCTGCTTTGTGAGGAGTCTTTGAATACCCCTTACGTAAAGGTACCTGGAAATTGATGATGAATCCTCACATGTGCCTTCCGGAGTAACTTGTGATCACGTCAGTTTCTTCGCAATATGCGGAAGGTAAGTGCGCTGATGCATGGAATAATGGAATAGCTTCGTTTCTGGTGATGCCCGGTTGGAGGGCTTCTCCTTCAATGTAGGCTTCTCCTTACGTGCTAACATAAATATCTTCCAATGTTAACGTCACTTGGCGTACATCAATTGAAAATGGCGTGCGCACGTTGTCGAGGCAATTTGCAGAGGGTGCCAACATGTTTAGTTGCAACCTAGCAATGCAGTTATCCAATTTCGGCTCTTCATACCGCTAGTAATGCCTCCTCTTCGATTTTCTTCGTCAAGACAATTGCCGAGTGTTGTCAATTCGTTCGAGAGACTAGATTATTACTCACCCTTCAGTTTTGATGGTGTAATTTCATTCATGTTACTTTTGAATCACCACGATAAGATCGTAGCATTTTGCACGGTGATTTGAACCCTCTTTATCGGAATTGTCATTCAGGTACATTGGGATTATCTGGAAGCTGGTGCGCAAATTGTTCTCACCTCTTCATATCAGGTGAGAAAATGACTGCAGATTACTTGTGGTAAGAAGATGATGTGGAAGTATATTTCTTTGTTGTTGAAGGTTTCCACGTTGCAACCTCTAGTGTGCCGCGTGAATTGTGCCGCGTGAATATATGCAAATTCTCACTAACGACGCAGCCGTGTGAATGATGAGGGTAACCGAAGATTGCCAACATCTGAGTTTCTCTTTTTTTTCTCAAACACTGTCACGGGCTTTCGATGCCGATTATGCGTGTTGTTTGTGCTCCCTATTATATTCTGTCATATACTTGTGACTTATACGTCTGTTACCCATTGCAGGCAACGTTGCTTGGATTCGAGTCAAGAGGATACACCAGAGAACAAGGAAAGGAATTTTTGAGGCGAAGTGTCACATTGGCATGCGAGGCGCGTGACAAGTTTTGGAACGAGTATCAACAACGCGTGCAGAAACACGAAGCAGCTCCTGGACAATATTGCCGCGCACTAGTAGGGGCTTCAATCGGGAGTTACGGGGCATATTTAGCAGATGGATCCGAGTATAGGTCCGTTTGGTTTCCTCGCTTTATTCTGAGTGCCTTCAAACTGCTTAGGAGTTGCATCCCTGTTAAGTCTCTCACGCGTTAACCTGTGAATTAAATGCTCTGTTTTTTTTTGGTCTCTATCTACGTAGAGTGGTCATACTGGAGACTTTACTTAAATAGAGCGGTCATATCAACATACTAGAGTTCTTACTTCTGTCGATAGCTTGGTCGTTTTGTTGGTTTGAAGTGGTTAGTTTTTGTTGTTTACAGTGGAGATTATGGTCCTGAGATGACTTTAGAGAAGCTGAAAGATTTTCATCGCGAACGACTTTTGATCCTTGCCGGAGCTGGACCGGATATTCTAGCACTTGAAACTATTCCGTCTTTTCTGGAGGCAAAGGTATAGCATATCACATTCTTGACATTTAGGATTATAGGTGCAGTTGGCAGGGAAATAACTGGACTTGAAAAGTGGATGAAGCAAATACTCTATATTTTTTTGTTTGGATCGAAAAGAGACATGCAGCTGTTTAGAAATCTCTACATAACCTGATCAATGCGAGTGGTTCTGCAGGCTCTCATCGAAGTTCTGGAAGAGGAAGATATAAATGTTCCAGCCTGGATGTCTTACATTTCAAAAGATGGGAGGAATGTGGTGAGAGGAGATAGTATTCAAAGCTGTGCTGAGCTGGTAGAACGAAGTGAAAAAATTGTGGCCTTTGGCATCAATTGTACTCCTCCTTCTTTATGCGAGGAACTTATCTCAGAAGCTCGCAAGGTGACTTACCTTCTAAACTTCCTTTCCAAATACGTTCCAATAGCCCTCAAGATATTGGTAAAAAGCGTCTTTCAATTTGAACTGTTGTTGGATTTGTCTAGATGTGTAATTATTTCATGTTCATTTCGCAGATTACATCGAAGCCCATCGTGGTCTATCCAAATCGCGGTGAAGATTGGAATGCAGAGAAAAAGGAGTGGATTGTAAAGTTCTTCACAAACTTGTGCTCTTCTAGGTTTTTTCATGATTATGATTGAATGTGTTGTCTCAGGAGCACTGCGTCGCCCTCGAGAAACTTCATAATTTTTTCTCTCTAAATCTGCACAGAAGAATGACAGCGTAGATGAGATTGTGTGTTGATGGGCAGTATTCGCACTCCAAGCAATCTAGAGGTTGTAAACGAAACTGACTTCTTTGATGGAACTTTCTTTCCTGCTTTTCTGCAGCCATCTACGGGTGCTACTGACGAGGACTTTATCAACTATATTCCCCGGTGGAAGAAAGCAGGCGCAAATTTATTCGGGGGATGTTGCCAAACTACTCCAGCTACCGTGAGGGCTATTGCCAAAGTTTTGCACCCACATCCCGTGTCAAGTAATTAGTAGGAGAACTTGCAGTGGCAAAGTAGAAGTTATTAGAATCAGTTATAGTTTAATAAACAGATGATAGAGTACAATCTTGGTAGATGAGAGATTTCACATGCAAGGAAAGGTTTGTGATTTCTAACCAATGTCTGTTCACAGTTTTGTTCTAAGGAGTAGAAGTTTTATCCATTCACCAGTTCAATACGATGTCTCACATGACAATTTGCATCTCAATAGATTGCAAAGTAGTGTGGCAATTGCACTCCCAAAATCCCCTCACCAGCCAGCCATTGGGAGTATGCGAGTGAGTTGAAAGATTGGAATCCCCTCGTCTTTGAAGAATGTTGGATATTGCATGAATGCAATCTTTGTGTTATGTCACTTGTAAAACACTTCCATATAATTTTTCCATATGAGCCTGCTTGCAAAATGGCTCATAACTTGCAGCTAATCTATTCCCTGTCCCAATTCAGTTCTGCTAGGTCAGGAGGCTACAAAATACTTGATGTACGCTTCAGTGCAATCTTACTCAGTAGCAAAGTTGCAAGTTGTGACTGTAAGCGCAACTAGATTTACTCCCACATCGAAGTGCAGGAGGGACGCACCATTTAGTTTCAAGGGAACTTGTGGTGACTATTTTAATCTGAAGATAGGGAAAAGAATCTCACGAACAGTAGATGCAAAACGCTACAGAAGATAACGCACGTTTGTGGTTGCTTTCTGTCGCACCGGTGAGTAGCACAAGGTATCCTTCATCTTAGTCGGAACATGTACCCTCACCGATGCGTAATGAGAGTCATGCGACTTTCTGGGCTTAATTTCTGGTTGCAGAGGACGTGGTTATAGGAAATGCGAAACCACTAGTGCTGGATATGCTAGCGTTTTCTTTTCAAACAACGCTAGCATATCTCAGTAAAAACAAAAAACGTTAGAGTAGAAGGAGATCTTCTGCAGGTATGCATTCTGATCTAGTTGACTGTGAGCAGTTAGATACGTGATCCAAATCTTATCTACGTCAGTCAGAACTTTATATAGCAGACAATGTCCCAACCGCTGCGAAAAAGCGGAAATGCAAAGATAAAGATGTCACAACCTAATGATTATGGTCTCCATGGACATATTTCCTCACTCATGGCCAAATGCTCGAAGTGTTTGGATTTCCGACAGGTCCGTGCCAACACAAGTGACCGGTCAGCACGAGAGTTAATATAGAGGACCCCGCCATACTTTTGGGTTTGTCTTCTGGCATAAGCGTATGCCACTTACGCCCTCGTGTCATCAACAACGACGCGGTCTGACTCGTCTTTTGGCTTTATTGGATTATTCAAGATGATTTCCGGGTCGGAATTGCGAATGACCCGAACTACAATTTGTCCCTCCCTGTCTCTACCGCGTAGAGTATGTATTGTGTAGGCGAGACAGGCGAGGTCATACTGTTGTATTTATCTCACTAAGATGCCCCTTAGGTCTATAAAGGTCGAAATGGAATAATCTATCAATCTTTCAGAAGGATTGGTTTGAACAGTAGTATTGTTATTGAGGAAAATATGGCACGAAGACCTGTCAATCTTATGGACGGAGAGCGTGCAGTCGTCATTCTCTGAAGACATACCTTAGCACCTCGGTGTGAGTCTATTTATGAGGTGGACTTATGTGCCTGACTTGCTCCGTTGTTTCGAGTCGTCACCCCCGGGTAGTGGACTAGGACCTCAGCACATACAGGGAAACAAGAGTGACGCTTGGCAGATAACGCTATGGATGGGCAATGTATTGCCAGTGGGTGAATTTTACACAGAGTTCCTCGTTTCTGTCATTGATCAGTTCTTCCCAACTCAGACGAAAAGATCCGCTAACCTGAAAGCCGATGAGGAAGTCGACCGAGGAACCATCTTCCCTCTCGTGGACCACTAAAAGGTGCATAAATCCTTGGGCCTTCGATGTATCCACAAAAGTATCGTGCAAATTCTCATCAGAAAGCGCTTCTCTGACTGTAGAAGAGAAGGAAGCTTCGCTCTCAAGTTCGAATCTAGGCTTGTGATTTGAAACATAATTCCGATCCGTTGTGTTCACATCCTCATTTTGTAGGTCTCTACTCCGTTGTATTCGCATCCGCCATTCGAGACAGGAGATGTCTCATGTGATGCCTGTGCTCTCTGCGTGCCGGTTCTGCGTGAAGGTGAAACGAATGCTTTACTGCTAGAAACCTCATCCCCTTGTAAAGCACTCGGTCAGCTTGCACCAGGAGGAATGACCGATTGGGCAGGGCTGATGTCCGCATCTGGACAGAAGTGTAGATCCATATTGAGGAACTTGCCTTTCGCCTGTAGAGAACGGATCCGGTAGATTATTCCATTTCGACCTTTATAGACCTAAGGGGCATCTTAGTTCAGACATTAACAGCTATTGTAGCTGACTGCGTTCATCAACTCTTGCGTTCCAGGTACTCTTTTTAGTTAAAAATGTCGTAAAGTTGGGTCTAAATTTGAACGTACGAGTTGCACAAAACAGTTTATTGTTTTCTTTTCTTGGTCAAGCTAACAGTGGGTTTGACGGATGTAAATGTGAATTCAAAGTAGAAAAGACCCCAATAAGTAGCAGATGGATGAAACCAAACAAATGAACACGGAGCTAGTCCTTCTAGAATCATAATGGAAACAAAAAACTCACTTAACAAGATATGTTTTTACTATACAGTTAAGATGTTTTATTTATATTTTAACTATAATTTCAAATAACGTTTAATTTTGAAATTGATGAGTGGTTTCATATACACTGCATTAGTTACAATGTTATTTATATAGCAATTGATAGACTTTGTTCAAACTAAAGTATAAAATAACTTTAAGATTATACATATCTGCCATACATATAAATATCTGATGAAGTTGATATCGATATATATTTCAAAGTTGATGTGGAAAAATACACATATTTTACCCGATTCGATTCACGGAGCGTGTTTGTAAGAAGTAATCTTCTAGATAAACAAAGATTTGATCTTTTTGCATACTTGGATAGCTGAATTGGGTATTGTCCCCGTCTAGGATCACATCTCATAGATGTATGTCAACATTTTACTTCGAACTTGTAACTCTACCCACACCATAACCGTCAACAGCTATCTATGCTCACCCCTGCTATTCAAATTGGGATCATGTATTTAAAAATTATGTAATGTGTATTATACTTTTACACCAAGTCTAGATTAGGATTTGACAAACAAAAGGTTAGTGTGTTCCTTGCATTCAAGAAGTTTTACTTCAATTTGAAGCTAGATGTGAAGATACACAAAACCTAACATGCCACTCGCAAAATGATGTGGAATGTGGAGACTTCTTTTTGCTTCACCACAAGAAAATACTGAATTTAGCATTGATATTTCAATTCATTGAAAATGCTGAATTCATTGTTGCAATAATCTCATTTTTTTAATCAGTGATCTTGTATATCTCATACAGACTAAAATCAAGCTCAATACGAACATTGAGGTTGGAAAAAACTAAATTTTCAACCACATTGCCATGGATCTTAATTCTCCATCAAAAGAAGTGTCGATTCATCAATATGAAGCTTTTTTGTGATGATGTTAGTGCATCATCTTTCTTGTTATTAAAATTTGCCAAACCTTTTATATATAAGTCGAATGCAAAACTGCACTTAGTTTGCTTTTGCCTTAATAACTAAGGCGTCGGAAACTCCATGTTACGGTTATGGTTCTTCATGACGACATCCAAATGTGTTGTTACAACATGGAGCACATCGAGCTTAATCATCTCTTGCACTAAGTATATGAAGAGGCAGTTTTAAGCTATGATGAAAATGAAGTCTTTGCTCTTTCCCACGGCATCATTATCACATTGTTGATAGCAAGTTTTCGATGCTTCAATAGTTAAAATCTGTTGAAGCATGTATGTAAGATGTAAGCTCTTTGAAATGTTCAAGATCCAATGTTCACTTCTAAAATTATGTCAATTGATTGTTTCAAAAAGATCTATAAAATTGAGTCAACTTTCCCTAGTGCATTACTTTGCGCTAGTAGATTGATCATCTCATTTAGCATTTCAAAAACACTAAGCAAGTAAATAATATAGTGAATTTCATCTTATTGCAATATCTTGTTTTAGCGTCTTTGACAACTTTGATTGAAGATTTGACTTTCTAACATATGCGACTAAAGTCTTTCAGTCATCGTCGATGAGAGTGTATAGAGTTGACATGTTGGACTCATCAAGATATTGCTAAAAAGGCTTGTTCTTCTTACGATTAATTTTTCTTCTAGTCTTGTTGAATATATAGATCACACAATCTACAATCTTATGATCAATGCATTCTAGCAAATCAAACTTGCTTGAAATGTCATCTTCGTCAACTATGTTAGATACACAATCTGTCACAACAATAATTGTATCAAACAACAAATCCTTGATAACAAAAACGTCCAAAGCTTCCTTAAATCCATTTAAAATTATAACAACTATGTGGCTCTCATCTTGAATAGACTTCACACGCAATATTCTATCAAAAAAATCATATTCTTCTTGATGTAATGCATCATGACAAATCTGTAAGCTAACTTCTTCATGATGAATGTTCATTAGATCAAGAATATGTGTCATAGATACATAAATATCAATGTGTTTTTAAGACAATTTGTTACTATAGCGTGCGCCTTCATTGCAAGAGCCTCTGTATTGAGTTTGGCGGTAATTGATCGACACAATAGATCATCAATCATGAGTCGTTTATTACTTGCAACAAATATATCATTGAGTTGAGTGAACAAATCTTTCTCGGTTATTGATTTAAATGGTTAGATGTCAATTGCAAAAAAGTTGATTGCTGCAAACGATCAAAGTCATCTTCTATTTATCATATGTAGTGGGGATGCAATTTGTTGCAAATACATCCATTATTATCTTCTTTTTATCATGTGTAGTGGGGATGCATTTTGTTGCAAACATATCCATTATTACACTCTTGGATCTTTCTACTGGAACACACTTATAATTCTTCATATGCTGGTTTTCTTGAACATGTAATATATTTGGAGTTGATTCAAGCTGTTTACTTTCCATCCTTACTACAATTGCAAGTAAAATTGTAAAAGTTGATGTTTGGAAAATTCAAAAGTAATCTTTGGTGAAATCATGGAACGACTTAATTTGCGCAATATTCTCGCATTCAGATTAAGTATAGACTTGCTTTGATCTCACTGAACCCAAAACAAGTTTGGATTCACACTTCAATAAGCATTGATGGGCATGGACTCCTTAATCAATTGGAAGCTACTCCGATCCATACACCTAGAAACAATAACCACCCCTGTAACAACCATGAACAGTAATGTAGAATTCATGGCCAATTAGAACCCATTGAAGGTATTGCTAGTCAATACATCAAGAATGATTGACATGGCAACTCATCACTCCACTGTGTACATGCTTGTCTCTCATAGGCAGGCCTTATAAAATTAGTCAAATGACTATTTTAACTAAATTTCCGGAATTTAGTCATTTTTTCAAAATGAAATTAGTCAAAGTAGTCATTTACTCTAAAAGTGCCATATTTTTATTGAAACCACCTAAAACACGCAAAATATGGTCAGTTTTGAGGGATATTCACTTTTGATGCAACATCTGACGACACTAGAGAATGTATTTCAGTGAAAAATCAATCAAAGAACGACAAAAATCTTCCTTCTCCCTTTTAAGAACGGAGAAATCGGACTCAACACAGGAGGTATTTAGAAATATTGAAGCAAGTCCGCCCGCGAATGAACAAAGGTTCCGATATTCGGAAGCGATGCTTTCAATGCCCCACGCTTCGGCAAAATTTGCAGTTACATGATCACATGAACAAGATAACAAAGACTTGAACCGAGGTTTTGTCTCACACCGTAAATTTTAGCGCGCGCTGTTGATAGCAAATCTCCTCAATTTTTTTGTCGTTCCTGGTGGCAGAAATCCAAGCGTGCTGGTGTTCAATCAATTCTCTCGATCGCATTTCTACAAATTCTAGATTAAGCGTGGGCAGGGTCTTGATCACATAACCGCAATTGAATTCATCGCGCTCAGCTCGGACGTCCTGCAGATCAACGATCAGAGTGCTGAACATTTCAGCAACATTTTCAAGAATCTTATCGATTTCTTCCGACCATAAACCCCTCATGAAGTGAAAGACGAACATGTCTTGGTCGGTCACAAATCCGTTGAGTTCATGTTTCAAATAGCTAAAGCCATTGCATCGAATTACGTCTTCAACACGACGAGCCTGAGGATCCATCTCTACCACCTTCTCAGCAAACGCCAACTTGCGGATTCGCTTGATACATTCTTTGATCTCGAACGACTACTCGCCTAAAAGGGCATGTTTCTCTTGCAGTCGTTGAGCTGTATCATTGACGTCTATCACAATAACATTGACTACAGCCAGATATATCCAAAAGAAAGGCGAAGGTTCGCTTTTACGTCGTTCTCAGCTAAGCTCTTGATAATGCTCCAGAATTTTAGTTCGATGTTCAAGAAGATAAGATGAAACACGAGAAGTCGAAACCCAACGGGTTCCAAAGATCGCAAGTCGATTTCAGTCGGTCAATCAATGTCTTTTGTTGACGTAGATGCGAAATCATACTGGTTAATGCCGGATAAAATTGGCCGTTATCAACTGTACGGAAGAGCTTTTGCATCACAAGGTCAATTTGGTGCAGAGCACACCAAATTCGGACAAATCCGGATAGCCCAGCATTCGCAATACGAGTAACCAGCCCAAAAATATGGCCTGTCATGTTTGCAGCATTATCCGTTGAACATGTATTGAGCTTAGACTTCCAGTTAGTGCACAAAGCATTGAAAATTGTTTCAATCACGTTGAACATTGCAAAACCAGTATGGCTTCTAGAAAACGGAATTGCAATAAAATGTTAATTCAGAAGTTTGCCGTTGGAGCAAACCCGAACGCAAACGTCAATGTAAGAGGTCCTTTGACAGTCCGAGTCATCAACTGCAATTGCAAAGGCCTAGGCTTCAAACCTCAAGCAACGGCACAAATCACGCAAACGTAGTTTGCCACGATCATGTCATTGCAATTGCATGGACACAACTGGTCACCATTTTTGCATCTTGAATTGCAAATGCTGCTTGAGGAAACGAAAGTACTCTTTCCACAATAAGTGGGGCCAACTGGTTTTGTTTCACCTGCTTCAATACGACCTTGTTCTTGTCGGAGTCTTTGTTTAGATGAAAGAGAAGGTCATTCGATCTAGAATGATCGCTACCAACATAGTACGAGTTCCAGAGGATTCTTCTGATAATAATGTGAACAATAACTTTGTCGAATATGAAGGTCAATTGTTCTGATTGGCTGTACAAATAAAAACGAATCGTCTATGTTGTCTTGGCAGTGACATTGAAGAAATACTTTTTCTCAGCATCTGAAAGGGACTAGTACTCAGCCCACTTCTGGTGATGCTGAAACTCGAGATGACTGCGATGTTATGAAAAGATGAACGAAAAGAACAATCCAACCAAACTGCGCTAATTTCTTCTCGCTACCAAATGCAACACAGAAACGGTAACGAACTCCTAACGCCTTCTGGAACATGATCGTAAAACTTTGCTATCATGGTTCATGAAAAGTATCGTAACGGAACCGGATCTCTTCTCATTTTTGGAAAGAGGCTCAGTTCAACTGAGTTAGTTGCCATGGAATGGATAGACACCGAATTCCAGAGGTAGACTGCATGAACAAATTCTGCCCGGTCCGTAGGTCACAAATATCGTCAAACACTACCAAGGACAAAATTTACGAATATTAGTTGTTTCAAAGTGAAATAGTCATCTATCTTTAGTTTAACTATTTTTATTATATCGAGAACTTTGTCGATAAAAATAAACTTTCTCGACCCATAGGGTACTTTCCCGATGCCCGTGTTTTTCCCGTTTAGACGTCCGACTCACACGACGTAAGTTTTAGATTACACTGCACAACCTTTGTCTGATCCAGTAGCGTATCAGATTCACAGACACAATCCTTATCTGGACCTTTGTCAATTGCCACATTCAAGTTTGGAGTGCTTCAGTGCGATCAAGATAAGGTGGTCACGAGTATCAGGACAGTAGCTAGACACACAAACTTTGGCGCTTTGTAATTCCGTGGGGCATTTCAAAGAGCGAAAATGGCACGTGTGGTTTTGCTGAAGTTCGGCAGGTTGCACGTTGCCCATCAGCTAACATAAACGAAAGGAGCGATTTCACCTCTCCCTGCAGAACGAGCAATTGACAAGCACACTGCACGTACACAACTGACATGACAACACACTGGACAATGATCAAGCCAACTTTTGATACCTGGGCCACTATGCTACTAGTAGGCTGTCACTCGCTGTTGCTCCGATCGACGCTTGTTAAGCTTGCCAGTGAGAAACGAACTAGCGGCAGTCCTGCTCAAAACTTGGACATTTAAAAAACAAAATACCATGAAGAAAAACCCGATAGTAGAGCGGTAGTAAGATCAATATTGGAGAAATGTTCTCAACTGCTTTGCAGAAGAGGAAGTGAGCAGATTTTATTACTTCGTCTGCATGCACTAGAAGCATGCGATCCTACGGGAAGAAGATTTGACCACTCCACAGACATTGATTCATATGCAGAAGAGTAGTTGCTCTGAAGGAGAGTGCATGATATTTTCCAGGAGTAAGATGCTTCTGCGTCTTGGTCTTCGAGATTCAGCCCAACTGAAATCATTTTTGGAGCCACTCTGTACGATAGACAACGTCAACGTTACAACTGTTGTTAGCTTATTACTCTCGGATATAGCTTTAGCGACCTGCGACAGCCAGCAGCCAGTTGACCAGTTGACTCACTGAATGATTATGTGCATAGTAAAACAGGCAGCACACCGGGACAGAGGAAGATACCTGAGCAGCAGAAGATATCACATTCTCGTATCAACCACTCGTCTACTCACGAATCATCATCCTGTGCCTGTTCACAGCGAATTTGGCGATAAATTATGCAATACAACAAACAACACTCTCTTATTTACTACTCTTAACTCTTGCTGTAATTTGGATACCTTCAGAGAACCATTAGAAGACTGAGCAACATAATACGAAAGAACAAATATGCAACATTATATTTCTCCAAATGTAATACATGGAACTAGATAGAGCTCTGATCGGGGTTTCAGTCTTAAGCAGGTCGTAGATACTCACTAGGAATGCATGTGCGTGGCTGCCCTCTTCATTGCAACCTGTAGTATATGGTGGTTGAAGTCACCATGTCATCTGACCTAGGTTTACTTGTACACACTAGAGACTATAGACAAAGGCTACTATTGAGAGAGCGGAGGTACAAAGGAAGTACTCCTCTAAGTACGGGGAGCCTCGCTAGCTAGAAGGGTATGTACGAAAGACCAGGATCAGTTGAAATATATCTGCAAATATTGCTTGAAATTCTGCAAACTGCACCCCTACATAAGGGTATCAGCGTATGTGTGTTCTTCCAAGAGACCATACTCCAGTGTCACGAACCGTACTCTGCAATTAAAATATTTGCATTTGTCTCAGTTTCCACAAATATTTACACGAGGCACACCACGCACAAATGGCGGTAGAATTTTCCAGCTGAAATCACTCTCAATGACAAATTCAATCATTCGAGGACAAACCTGCGATTTAGGAGATGGAAAGACATTCCAAAAGCGTAAAGTCTCATCTCCAGCTCCAGTAACGATAGTCTGCACAGGTACGTCCCGAAGTAGGGAAAACGCCAAATTTATATAGGAAAGTTTGTAGAACACTCACTCGACTTGTTCAACGACTTTTCTTTGGAAATGAAGAACGGAGATATGTACACTACTCAGCCAGAGAAGCAGATAAACTTCCTGACATACCTGTCCATCAGGAGATATAGCAAGATAAAGTACTCTCATAGTGTGACCCGTCAATGTAGCAAGCTGCAATACAGACGAGGACCAGTCGCTTCAGTAAAGATGAATGTGTAACACCTATCCAACAAAATCCACATAGATGTTGATATGCATTGTTTTGTAAGTGTGCTACTGTTGGGCAGAAAATCTAGATTACATCTCAGAAGACCGTCAATATATGTGTATAGATGAAGTTGTAAATGAAAACAAGCATCACATTTTGACAAACTCAGAGTGGAGTGAGAGCTAGACAACTGCCGTACCTTGGACATTGCTGGATAGCGCCACACAATTATTTGATTTTGCGAGTAACCATGAGTACTGACAAGCTCGTTGACGTTTTTCGACCATACCAGGTTGCAGACCTGCAGTTAGAAAAAAGTAGAAAATATAATTATCAGCTTTTCCTTATTTTCGAACTCTTTTTTCCTCCGATCGATGCTCATTAGGAGCATTAGAAGTGAGAATCGATCGGAGCTAAAAAGAGTTTGACAGTGAATGCAACCTTTTTTCTAGACCTTGGGAAGAGCTTCTACTGAAAATTTGCATTTACTGTGAGTACTTTGAGCAGCATAATTTTCACCAAGAGCACTCGCTTTCGCATGAAAAGGGATGTCCATCACACCTGACTGCCAGTATCGTAACAATTGAGAGCTGTGCTTGTTGCGGTATTCCAAAAGCGTATGCATCGGTCAGCCGTTCCACCTCCAGATGCTAGTAATCCGTGCTGGTGTGGGGACCAAGCAATTGCCTTAACTGCAGCTGTGTGCTCACTGAACTTCAAGAAGGGTTGTGATGACTGCTGATTCCACACAAATAACTGCAGGACGAATAACGGATTTCTATCAGTACATGACTATGGGAGATGACATGCATCAACGAGGTACTGTAGAGTACAGAGCATAACCTCCCAATAGTGTCACCTCGTGTGAGTGACATCCTCCCATTAGTGACATCGAATTCGAGAACCATTGAACTGTGACTAGTAAATCTGCCCAATAATAGCAGTACGTCACTAAATGGCAATAGTGACATGATACTATCCAATAATGACAGTTCCAAGTGTAATCTTGGAGGTACAATTCTTATCATGATCACAATACAGAACCTTGAGAAAGTGTAATGTGGCATACGTTTATTTAAACGTCTATCTCAACAGTTCACTCTATCCAGGCTTCAGCAAAGTACTTCGCTACAGATAATATCGTCGAATTTTAGTGCATGTATCCGTATTTAAACGCAATAATTACGCCAACGTTAATTATCGTGAACAATACAAAATAACAAATGAAGGTGATCTTGAAGCCAAACAACGCACTTATAAAATGTTCTAGGACTGATGTAACGTCCGATAAAAAGGCTGCACACTTTATTTTGGTGAGTGACACCTCCCAATAGTGAAGTTCAACCCTGAAACCAATGTATGTCACTGTTGGGAGGTTTCTATTCCGTACTCTAAAAAGGAGTACAGCATTGGCTGTACTTATGATGCCTGATGGAATTGCGGAGGGGTCATAATAACGACCTACTTCCTAGAACATAATTCACATTATGCTTGAGGCCAAAGGGCGAACCTGACCTGATTATCGTTACCTCCAGACGCAAGCTCACGATCGTCATAAGACCACTTCAAACCACAGACCTGCAAGTTAACAAGAGTTAATGTTGTACCATTACCAAGTTCTATGAACTTGCGTCAGAAGACCACTTCAATCCACAGCCCTGCGACTTTAAACAAATTCTACACCACAGGTAACTTTGTTCCTCATCAAAGTCAATCTTTCATCAATGCAACGTATTTACACATGGCTCATGGCTCCACACTGTACCTGAACTCAGACATTCTCATCATATTCTGTCGAACTAAGAAGTAACCAACGCATCCTAGTTCTTGAATTGATCCATATTTGTTTCTTAAGCTTGACTATTTTCCCAACTCAAGGTCTACGCGAGCTAGAACAACTCTATAGCCCAAACGCGTCCTGCTGTGATGTTTGTTGAAGTGTCCTTTTACCTCAGACTTGTGGCCCACAAGTTTGCTGACAAAATCTTCTTGAACGCGGACGTCGCGCTGCAGGATGTTCCGATCTCGACTCCCAGATGACAGAATATGCGAACTCCAAGCAAGAGTCCCAACTCTAGTTCGATGACCGGCCATAGTCCTCACCTTTCTACAGCGTTGAGCATCCCAAATCTGCAAGATGAATCATAGCAATCGTCCATTGAAACCATAGTAAGTAATTATTATCACTCGCCATACCCAAGATGATTCCACCGAAACATAACTCTCGCTTACTTTTAGAAAACCCTTGTCATGCCAAAACGGTGCTATGATTAAGACCAAAAGCAGCTGAAAGGTGTTGAAAAGCCCTCGCACCTGCACTTCACCTAGATTGGTCCCCACGGCAAGGTACGTCCCTCTTTGAGTCCAACCGACTGAGCAAACTATGTCAGTTGGAGTGAAATCGCATAATTTTGTGACCTGACACAAGGAGATTCAGTGACTACATTAGTCAAAACACTGAAGGAAAGATGTGAGATTCTCCTTACATAGGCATCAAGAAAGCTAACGATGCACTAGATACATACGGAGCCAAAATTTAGGGGTTCCGGACACTCCTGGAAAAGCATGCGATTAATCAGGAAACATGTGAGTAACTGTAAATTAGCTTGAAAAATTTTTTAAACAGAAGACAAAACCGCTTACCTTACTAGTACAAGCACTCCACAAGTAGACGCAAGTTCCTAATCCTACGGCCAACACATTATGCGATGACCAATCCACGAGATTCAAGTAGAAATCGTCTTGCAAAGCGGGCGCGTCCAACACCTGCAACGCCATTCTCTCGTCATATTCTCAACATATAATCCAAATCCAGTTCATAATTAAAGCTACCAGTCGCGCATGTAGGTCATTCTCACAAATTCAATGCACGGAATCTTCGTTCGTTGCGAACTGCCTTCTGCTAAAACATTGCTTCTCCTACAGCTGGTGCAATTCACGCTAAACATGCAACTCATAATCACGAACATAAGGTTTTTCGCATTAAATCCTAAACTAAAAGCTCGACAAGACCAACTACCGTAGTGGAACACACCTAAGTCAATTTTGCCTTATCCACTACACTTTCCATTTGGAACTTACTTTGTAAGGAGAACGGGCGATTTTGCGTGGAGCCTTTCTAGGACTTGTGACAACCCCAGTGAGGGCACCGTCAGCTCCAATCGGGGAGAGAGAATAAGGCGATTCGGGCCTTGAATTCGGGCCCCCTGCTCTGTGATCTGTTTTAAATCTAAATAAATTTCTAGTCGGACTCATGGGAGACCTGATAGGCTCCCGTGAAGTCAAGCCCATTGATTTCTCTGGAGTAGCTGGAGACAGTGAACCAGCTTCTGCTCCAAAAAGTTCTGTTCTCAGCAACAATGAATACGCAGCTGCTCCATCTTCTCTGTTATCACTATTATGAGCAGGATGAAGTCCAGAAGGTGACCTGTCCAGCAGGGCGTAGTTTGTAAGGTTGGAACTAGAACGACTAGGAATAAAACGATCACTATAAGAGGTACGCGTTGGTGATGGACCAACAGTGCTAGAGTTACCAAGTGCCTGCTTCATTGGAGATCCAGGTCCCAGCCTGGACATTCTCATTGTGGTGTCCAACCTGAGGGAGTCCAACGACATGCCTGCTGGCAGGTTGAGGGGACCTCTAAACGAAGGCATGCCTCCCCCATTATTTTCTACACCTTCTTCGGCGTCCATCCTGCTCCCTCAATTCGCAAGGAATGTTGACTAGTCCGACACGCGGTTGATTGGCTAAAAGCCCACGGGCATACAATGTCCACGTCTCATCCGATTCGAAATACTCACGGTGCAGATGAGTGAAAAAGTAGACGGCATAGACTGATCCTGCTAGGCCTTGCCACCACCAACAAATAGCTGAGGAAAGCTCTGCAAATACATGTCTGTGTCCAATTCCCGTGCCAAACGAACCACGAGACTATGCTCCTCCAATGCACTTTGAAACTTCAGCTGCGGCACCACGAGCTAACATCAGAACTCTGTTTCGCAGTCTTAGCATCGCAAAGAAAGCAACAACTGTTTGCTACAGACATAGAGAACTCAAAATATGTGCAAAGTAGGCACCGGTGGGTTCACATCACTGAAGATATAGTGATGTCCATTATCGCATAAATCGTAAGTATACAATACACTTAAACCCTACGAAATTTTCCTTCCTTTCACGATCCACTTTGTCACTCGTTGTCTGGTTTTCTTAGCGGTTACGCAAATAGTAGAATACCAGTCACTTCTATCATTCGGTTAAGCTAGCCGGATTGACATTCCTTAGAAAATCAGAGGGGCTCGAATCAACCTGCTCACACTGAGCATTCATGTTCTCACAGTCCATATCCTGATGTTCTGAAAATCCAGAAAATTCCCAAGCCTGGGTGCATCCCGCAAACAAGCTCACGAGAACACTTCCTCGCGTCCCGAAAAGGCAGAAAATTCTGAATATTAATCAACAAAAGCCTCAGATGCCCAGAAATTTTCCGATTTTAGCACAGGTTGCCCGACCGGTCTATGTCCACCACACCCGGAAAACGCAGCACGCAAAGTCGCTGTTGAACGCATAAATATCGAACACGGAGTAGTTCTTAAAACATCCGAATGTCTACAGACCGACATGACATCCGCTCGAGAAAGAGACGGGCAGTCGCCACCGATTTTTAGTGACAAAGTCGACTGTGATTCGGAAGCAAACAAACTGTCACTACAAACCTTCGCCATTTCTCCTCGAGCGTTACGGATAGTACACTACGCGGCAAAAAGCTACACCGTCGCGGAAGAAGGAGGACAGTCAGATCATTTCAGACGTGAGCGTCCACACACGCCAGCTTCGGCAAAGATTCCCATATGATCCGTTCTTTGTTTCTTCTTCTTTCGTCAGCTCGGTCGGTGACAGAAGAGGCAACAACACGGGCTCTGAAATGTACAAAGGACCATGGACAGGAACGGAGAGGGATTCGTTTTCGTATCGGCCGGGAGTTACTATGTCACTTCCATGATGGACGTCCCGAAGGCCAACGGGAGGCCTGTATAACAGATCTCAAGAATATGGTTTTGCTGGTTTGAGGCCGCGATGGCTATTTATTTGAGTACTCAGACATCACCCTCCGCCTATCAACGAGGTGAAATCTTGAATCACAACCCTACGAAAGAATTCGACATCGGAATCGACCACCAAGAAAAATTCGGCGACTGATGCCTATCGCTCGCTCACCCTGCAGTTCACGCAGACGACGACATCCACGGCCACCACCACCACCTCCGATACGGCACGCGAGGTCGACGCGGACTAGCATGGCAAAAGAAGCCCTTTCGAGGCAGAAGACAGCCGAATGTGTGCGTGCTGCGCTCCGCGACCTCGCTCGCGCAGGCAATCAAGATTCAAACCTGTCTCCCTCAACAATCAGCACCACCACCAGCCCGGGCTGCGCAGCAGACACAGACACAGACTAGAGCAGAGCAGACCAGAGCAGCAGGGCAGAGTAGTAGCCTACAGTCGAACATGCGACGCTCGCTCGCTGCCGATCCTGCTGCTGCTGCTGCTTCGAGCCCAGACGCAAAAAAGGCGCCGCGGCGATCGTCCGTCCGAAGGGCGAGAAACAAACAGCGCTTCCGCTGCACTGCTCAGTGGTATGTATATAGATGGGCCCCAACGGCTCTTCTTCGTCAGTCAAGGGTCCGGTCCCTTCGTTCCTTCGTTCCTTCGTTCCCTCGGGGCCTCGATTCGTAACCACAACTGACCTTTGGCAGCCAAGGGGAAAGGCGGTTGCCCGTTCCCCTTTCCCCTATCGGAGGCTCAACTTCCGGAGGCCGAGCCGGATGAGCTGGCGGGCGCTCATTCGCGCGCGGTTCGAGATGATCTTGGCTTCCAGGGGTTCGAGAGCCACGTGGTCCGCGGGTCCGTTCGCCCTCTCGGCGACTGACGGGCGACAGGAGGTCGCTCCGAACGGTACGCGTCAATTCGTATGTCCCTAACGGTAAATGGAAAGTTAATCATACGTCGCTTCTCCTCTTCTCTTTACTGGAGCTTCCTTACAAGAACAGTCTCCGTAAAGTGACAAAGTCGTCGTCGTCGTCGTCGGCTGCAGACTTTCCGTCGTCGGGGTTTTCCGGGCCCGCAATAAGTGCAAGTGTCTCAAAAGGTTACCTTATTTTTGAATCGTGCTCTTGTAACGGAAATATTGGTGCACTTTACTCTACCCGGGCCGAGAGTCCTGAACAAGCTTCCGGCCCGAGAGCCTTTTCAGACACAGCTGGAAGTGGGCCAGCTGCTTCCGTCAGCTGCTCGTTGTTCCTCGATCCACTCCCGTCTGGAATTCCCGCTGACAAGAACCTCTGCGCTCACGGAAACCAATCTGTTCTCGATGGCGAACTATGGCTGGCAGTCCTCGTTGGCCGGCCTGACCAGGTTACGACAGCCTCAAGGAGAAGCTCTTTCCGCTGTATTTGAAATTCCCATCGCCCCACTCTCCTTCCAGACAGTAAACAGGTAATTAAAAGTGAGAAGGAAGAATGAAAGGAGGAGGTGCAGGTGGGCACAACAGGAAAAAAGGGTCCATTGCCCTGAAAAAAGATTGGATCATTCTTCCGTGAAAAGTTAAAAGGGATAGTAAAACATCTTCAAAGCATAGATGTCCGAAAACCAAAAGAATAAAGACTAGACTGTGTTCCAATAGCATCGCTATTGCACCATATGTCTTGCAATTTCTAAAGTATGTACACTATGAAAGTCTACACAACACATGAATATAGAAAGACTCATGAACCTGCGGTATTCATGTGTAATGAAGTACACAAGCGAACAAATCTATGTACCGTAGAGCAATGCATAAGTGTAGACCTAATGACAGTAATATTTTTGCAGTCTAATATGATAGTTTATCATGCATTACTTCCAGAAAAAATTAGAATTGGGCTCTTATATTCATGTAATTGCTAGCTAGAACTTAGAGTATGAAGAAATAGCTGACTTTTTAATTTTTTTCGAGTCATGTATCCAATTTTCTTCCAGATATATAAATGATTTCTCTGTGTAAATTATCTATCTCCTTGTGCAATGGTAAATGTCAAAACGTAATATCATATCTCATTTTTTATTTCAAAGAAATAAAAAATTTTGAACTCTATCTATGCTTAAAAATTAAAACATATATAAAAGTAAATTCTATCACATTTATGGTGTTTCGAATTTTATGATAAATTTTTCAATTCTTGTTCCTGATTCAAACATTATAAGAATATTAAAAATGTTAAGACTATATGATTTTGACTATGGAAAATTTAAAGACTATAATTGAAGATTGATTTCATGTTTGAAATTGTTTACGATTGAAATCCCATTTCAATCGTTAGTAAGAAAGTTACAACATCAGACCTTTCACATTTCTGTGTATTCTTTTCAATAAATGTCTTTCTCTATATCTTTTAATATTCTAATGTAACCTCTTTGTTTTAAAATATTATATTATTTTTAATAATTTTCATTATGCTTGTAAATTGAAAATATTTTTTCGTTCAAAACATGAAATTCCCTTTATTATTATAAGAACGTATTTAATTGTATTTATGAATCGTGTTGATATTAAATAATTGTTTGGCTCAAAAATATTGATGTATTTTAGATATAAATGAATGAAATATTTTTATTTTGTAATGACACTACCAATAAACTGTTGAAGAAACACCATCAACCCATTCACAATTGGAAATAGTCAGGCAACATGGAGCTACATCCGATACCATCACAATGGAGTAGATTGTTCATCAGTTCTTAAGTCTTCATACCATTTCGATCTAATTGTGTCCAAAGAACGAAGGTTTTAAAATAACTTATTTGACATGATTGATTCAACAATTTACTAGCTAATGCCATAAGTAAACACTAGAAACATTTAGTCTAGAATTTGATCACATATATTGAATTAAAATTGGTATATCACATGGTACATTTTGTTATACTATTTCACACATTCTTTAACAAGCATACCACCTCAGACATACATAGTTTCATATCCATATACAAGAGTAGAGTTATTATCGTATAAATTTAGATCTTTGTAATCTCCAACAGGATCTTAGTAGATCAAAGAAGGAAAGGCTATCATAACAACAAACATTCAACATTGTGTCAAATTTGAGTAAAAGATACTCAAAATATGAAGAATAAAAATATATTCTAATCTTAGAGTTTATTTCTCACTCCCCTCAGTTCAGACAGAGGAGAAAAAATAATACAACCTATTCGATTAACATGTTTCTTATAGCAAATGTATGTCTAAAGTCCTGAATTGAACCCTCCGATCATCTATCTAATCTACAAAGAATCTGCATAATCTAGACGTCATGACAAGACGGGGTATCTAATACATACGGGGTACTAAAAGTGTAGAATAGATACTATCTATTCTACACTTTTGTGGAAGCACTGGGGCGAGCATCGGCATCATCTCGTAAGTACAAACGGGAGTGAGGAGTGAGGGAGTGGCATTTATAGTCGATGGTCGTTCGAGAATCACGTTGCACGTAAAAGCCGATTCCACCTTGCGCAGTCGGTAGGCAGTCGAGGATTCGCGTTGTAGGTGCGAGAGGCTCGAACCATAAATTGGAAGCTGCTTTGACGGCGTCAGGTTCAGCATTCATTGCTTTTCGTTATCATTCTTGTCATTCTTTCCGACACAGCTGTAACTTTGGAGCACTTCGGATGAGGACCCACGGGCTCTGGCCCTGTGCTCATCTACAACGACCACTAGCGTTCCACCATGTCCTCCGTTCGTACCTCACTCCTTGCAACTGGCGAGGCAATCTTCGGCAGATCACTTCTAGCCGCTAAATTGACGCTTGCGCCAAATTTGTCCGAATCTTCAGTCTGTTTGCTTGTCTTGTATCTGTTCTGTGAGCCATGGGACGTCGGTGGTCAGTCAGAGTCAGAATGGGGAATAGTATGGCTGAAGCATTTTTCCTCAAGCATCCAATATACATCCGTAAGCGAGGATGATAGACTACCTCGTGGACTTACTTTTTAGAGCTATAAACGGGCAAGGTAAACATCAAGGGTACAAGATTCACAATTTACATACATCTGAGCATAAGTTATCCCATGAAATTATTTATCTCTACCAAGTATTTATGAGAGAATGTTAACATACTATTAAAATTCTATTCCAGTATCATGCATTCCACTCTTATTTCACCCAATCATTTGTAAAATCCATGGTGTGGATAGATCGACTTTTTTGAGAATACATATATATTTCTCTCATACTGGTGTATCCCAGTATAGAATACGAGCAGAAGTGTTTGCCACTTCCAGGAAAATGGCATATTTTAGAGAACCCGAGCAGGCAATTGGACTGGATTGTGGGAGGAGTCCGTACAAACCACATAGGTTAAATTTCGATTTGTCCACATGATACTTCAGATTCGATACGATTGCAACAACACTAGACTCTAATCTGACAGTATAATATAACAACTTGAGCTCATCATCCTTTTGTACATGGCTTGTGATATTGAGTAGATTATAATAGAAAATAAATAAAATCATCCTTTAATTTGAATTTTAGAATTTAAATCAAAGCTAGAATATTTTAAATTAAAATATGATTTTTTAATTATATCTTCTTTTCCATTTCATATATAATCGGCAATACAATTTAAAAAACTCTAAGATACAACATACCGACTATCTTATTTATAAAAATATTAAAAAGATGGGCGAATATGAATTATATGCCCATGTATAAGATTTACTTTGACATATCGACTTTCTTATTTACTAAAGTGAAACACACATTATAAATCATAGTAAGGGAAAGAAAGCATTTTCCAAACCATGATAAATTAAATCATTTCAATCTTATAAGTCATCGATAAACTTACATACTTTAATACATTTATTCAATTCAAACCCATGTGATGCAGAAGACAGATTTACGTTTTAACAAAAGTTTAAAACACTCAAAAGTTTCACTAATATACCTGAATATCTGTCCCCAACATACACTACCCGAAACTGGTAAGTTATAAAACTTAAATTAATAATACAAAGTAACTATTTGTCATATTCAAAAAAATATGACCATGCATTAATATAGAAGTTATTAATGGTCTAACTAGTACCATTAATAGTCAGCTCCGTTATATCTTGAAGTTCTCCAGTCAATAAAACACATCTGATGTTGCAATCAACAAGATATCCTGCTTCTTTTGTCAATTTGCAATACACGTAAGATGTTACCAAATTCTACATCACTACTTCAAAGTTTTTGTATCGACGTCATAATAAACTTTGTTTTATTTTCGAAACTATCTAAAACCATGAGTACTGGATGAAGTTCTTCATACGAAGTGGGTACGAATAGTCTCACAGATGATCCAATTCTATCATTTGTGGATTTTGTGTCTTTGCAAGTATTACATACAAACAAGTTCTTAGCGCGACAAAGTTGATTAGAGAGGCAAAAGAAACTAGTTGAAGTTAGGAGTGGCTCTATGAAAATGTACATGGGAGACCTTCTTGCGTCCTTAAGCATTTTGTTTCAGGATGCAACAAGGATGCATGACATGTTGAATAAGTGATAAAAAACTAAAACCAGGTTTACATTGAATAAACTTCGATGTGTTCCGAGCTCTCCAAACATTTAAATGGTAACCAGCCAGTACATTCAATGCTTCAACTCTTATTCAAGGCCGAATATCATACAAAGGGTGAATTTCGATTTCCATTCCATGAAGTCAAGAAGTGAGGAGAGTCACGTCACATCACATGAAAATCAGTAATCTCCAGCCTTCAATGCTTCAAAATGCTCGCCTCGGAATAAAAGGTGGCAAATATGTTCCACAACAGAGATTGCTTGAATATTGACAACTAATTCCTGTTTAAAATCAGATGGAAAAAATTGTGCACCCTGGTTTGATTATGCCGTAATCGAGTGCTGACATATACCTAAGTAGTGTACATCCGAATCTTAGACCTCCCCACTAAAATGGCGACATTGTCAATTTTCTAACCTGAGGGGTGCTGAGCTGTTTCGATCCAGTCTAACCACTAGATAACATCTGCATATTCTCCAGTTGCCCTGCAAAAAATAGATATCTCAGGAGGGTTAGACAAAAAAACCACATCTATCACGAGGGTCGGTATGTGACAACAGTCAACAGTCCTACACACATAACTAACGAGAAAGTAAAATTGCAACACTTGCGTTGCTTTCTGAGACAGCTAAAGAGAGAGCTGTGTAACAGTTACAAAGTATATACAACTTTAGCCAGCTCCTTTCAAAATCACTGTATTCAACTTGCCCCAGAACATTGACATTAGAAAGATCTTTCTTCCATTTCATAATAAGAGAGCAACGCACCTATCATATCGAAGCGTTGCTTCCCCTATAGTCCCCGCTGCCTTGTTGCGAACCTTCCTCACAAGAACCTGCATTGCAGAGCCCCGGAGTTTAAGAATAGCTAACAGTCATGTACCAGGTCAGGGACAATCTACTACGTGCAGTGAGTGCATTATGTTTGAGACGTTACTAGTGTGATGGGTATCTGACCTGAACTTGATCAAGAGGACCCGCATCCGGATCACGATTACGATGGATCACTAATCCATTATCGCATTTGTTAATAAAGTGTGCACTGCCACTAATGTCATAAAGTCCTGGTGCCTCACCCCTCCAGACTTGCAGCTGCAAGAAGCGCGTCATTTATCCATTTGTCAGTAAGGTTATGATACAGATGATGCGCGGCCACTCCACAAACTATTGCAGGCCAAAGCGTCCTAATCTGCACTAGCCCTCATTAAAAGGGGCTTCAATTTCTGCGTCTAAGAGGGAACAGCTCCTCCCTTCTGGACAAAGAAATATATAAGAAATATCAGCCGTTTAATATCAGAATACTGACCTGTTTTGGGTGAGCCACAAACCAGACATGGCAATCGTGATGTTGAGCGAAGCGCTTCACTCTTGTTAGCATCTGACTCACATACTCTGTCTCCGTCCTGTGATTCAAATAAATCGTGAATTATTAACCTTTGATCCACAACAACTAATGACATTGATGGTAACGACTAAACTTTATGTAGTACGTAGATCCGACCAATTCAAGGCAAGTGTAAGATTGCACCGCTTATCATTAAAGCTAAAAAGCATTGGCATCCATCTCACTACATCGCTTGAGATGCTTCACTATCGTGTGCGTTGACAAAAAGGGGTGAAACTTCGACGAGATACAATTATTCCGTACTGCGCGGGGCGACACTAAGTTTTGAATGCCGTATTGATCTTATGATTTCGGGAGAGTTTTGGATAACCGGTATAGTTGCCTACAAGAACTAGCGGAGGTGTTGAGAACGCACTGACTACTGGGCCGTTGGTGATCAAGTTCATTATAGGGATCAATCACAAGTCCTCGAACTCCGTGTCTCAACACTGCAGCCTTTGCAAGATCCAGGACCCAGTCGACAGACGGCAGTTCATCATCTTCGCATCTGCAAGAGGACGTTTTGAGTGAGACAATCTTGACAAACTAAACAGATACTAAACAAAGAGTAGATTTTGCTCTTTGCTATGCAAACGGAGACTTCGATGCACAGTTGTACGAAAGAGTTTGTCCTGTCGTCGCCAAGCACAAAGCCCGAAAGGCTTTACCACGACACATCTTCTCGCTTTGCTATCAAAATTAACAAGCAACGACTTCACTGACCACCGCATTTACTTTCATTTGGGAGCTTGTACTATTGCAATTCAGTTCCATGCTGATATTGGACAGTACCACAACTGGTTGTAAAGCATGCAACTAAGACCTGCTTTCAATTGACTTTGGTCATTCACCTGATAAGAAAAAAATTTTGGTTTAGCCATGATTTGCCCCGCTCAAAGGCACCCTTGTCCATTCGGGATATCGAGTTTGCATACCTGAGATGGCAGAGTGAATGGTTTCAGGACCTAGCATAGGGCACAAACTTCACACCAAAACTTTATATCCAAATGTACAGTGACCAGACATAAAATATACATACATCAAATCACACAGACGTCCAGTTCACACAAACACGTACGGTGCATCGAAGAAAGGCTTTTTCAAATGCTTTTCCAGCAGCTTCCGTGCGTGTTCACGCACCTGTGATAGACAAACACAGCATGTTAGGTTGCTTTCCTTTAGGATCCATACCAATAAGTCGGAACAGGAATCACAATTTCAGGTGCTATATGAGGAAGAAATACTTTCCACGAGATCTACATTCGAAGACCTACAAGCTTCCCGTCCAAAGTAACATGGTCAACAGACTGAGTGCCAATACATATGCAGTATAAAAGCACCTTATTCTCCATTGAACACAAAGCAAATGTCCAGTTGTAGTCGCGACTTAGGTTACAAAGAAGAGCGTCGATCCATTCACTTTTGCCTGAGTTCGGTACTCCTGTTACAACAGTGAGTTCTCCGGGTACCACCTGGTTCATTACACTTCATGAGCATAATCAAATACTACTAAGCAATTGAAGTTAAATGTTATTCATAATGCTCATTATTGATTGGTGGAAAATCAATTCGCCAGTCAATCACTAATTCGATACTTAGATTTCCTGGCTGCTATTGCAGAATCACACTGACAAAGGGCAGGAGACTTTGTAGAGCTTACCCGATAAATACTGTCCAGACCGGACCAGCCAGTCGAAACACCTCGCTCATCTCCCATTCTCAGATGATAATAGTCATCAATTTCCTTGAAGAACTGAGAAAACTGAAATAGCCCACGAATAGGGTACAATTCTGATGTCTCGATCACATTCCGTACCGCCTCCGGTCCCAAATACTGGAGAACCTGCGACACCGAAAAATTGATACAAAATCCTCAATAATATTCATTTAGGATTCTATAACTAACAATTAAGAAAATCTGGTTACTACTACCACGCTGAAGCTTGGTGCGACCCATCATTCGAGCAATACAATCAAAAGATATTCCTTATACACATACTTTGGAATTCTTGCAAGATGTCAGATACTAGATGGGATGGCTTCGTAGAAGTTCTTTGGAGATATTATATAAATGTCTACTAAAATGATAAGGGATTATCATTGAAGCAGCAACCGCAATGTACCTCATTGGCGTCCTTGCATACTGCAGCCTCACCTTCACGTTTGGGCCACTTTACGCGCCAGCACCTTTAAAAAAGACATATTTCATAAAGCTTTCATTACTCCGCTATTTCAGGGGAAGATTTGCCTCTGAGAAGTTCCTCGGCGAAATACTCGCAGCATGTTAACAAGAACCTTAACAGGTTGGAATCATTCTCCAAAAAAATGGAATCTTAGTATTAAGTGAACAATTTTGTTTCTTTCAAAACAGATGAACAGCAATATTTTGTGTATTGAATCCTCGAACCAGTAAAACTCATATCCTACTCTCTCAAATATCGATGCTACTTATAAATGTCGGTCCATATCCATAAGGAGAGCCAGAATAGAGTCTAAAATAAACAACACTTTCTGACGCTTAAACATAACACAGCTACCAATTGACTTAGGATCTTAATCCCCAGCGAGCATAAGCAAAAGTAGGTGACTCGTACATTATAAAGTTATGGCATTTATATCGCAATGCCTCGGATACTCAGGATATTTTCTACTGTACTGGACCCTCTAACTTCCCACTTATGACTATAAAGCATGCAACAGAAGCATCTTGCTTTTGAGGATCATGGCAGTAACCTTACCGTTCACGGCCTAGACGACGGGCTAATTCTTCGGCGAGTGCGAGTCCAGGTTCATCAGAATCGGTTGCTAAAACAATCCGGGTTGCCTGTAATCATCATACATTGGGAGCTCGTAAGCGAGTACCAATTTGAATAATTTTTTCAAATGCAGATTAATGTAATTTTATCGTGGAAAATGTTCTAAGATAGAACTATTAGGCGAACTGTAAAAGGAAGTGGAAGAGAACAGATGATGCTCACATTTGTGAAATACTCACGACAATTGTAGAGATATTCGTACTTCTTATCCTGGAAAAACATTCTTGAAGTTAGAGAACAACTCGATAGTCTTATCCGACTTGATTCTCTACGCATAAATAACGGGTCACTCGAATATCCGATACCCGGCAAAGCTTGATTTCGTACGTAATAGCGACTGGTTGGTGACAAACCTACCTGTACCCAGAACAAGAACATCGCAAGGAGGACATCAAAGCAGTTACAAAATCAAACCTGTGTTGCAATTGTTGAGCCTTTGGGAACAGCCCCATCGGATGTCACCCTTGAAACATTTGTATCGGTAGACACTTTGGGAGGCGCGCCATCTGGTACACTAACACAGTTTGTATAACCTGCTTCGTAGAGTGTAAGCTTATCAATTTCTCCCTCGACCTGGAATCCAAAAGCATTCATGAGGAAGTCTACATCGACTACACATTATCCAGGCATTATCCAGAACTCTCCTCCCAACAAAAGCTTTGGCTCAGACAGGCGAAACGCATCAAATCCAAAATCGCGACAGAATTGTCAAAGAGGCTTACAATTATGATCTCTTTCGAATTTTTTATATCATCCAAACCATAAAGCACTTTCTCAGCACCTTTCACCTGTCAAGGAATTCAAAATCGATCACAACTTTGTTCACACAAAAATATACTGCGTAGACATACTTAAAATTGTTGTAGCTAGGCTGGATACTAACTCGGGGCATACGCATGCAAGGATGAGACCCTTGCAGAAATCAGACACCATAGCCTTGACTACTGATAAAAAAAGATAGAAGAGACATTCAACGAACAAAACGGATCTGTATATACACAACCGTTGGGTTGATGAGGCATCAAGGAAAATGAAGTGCATACGCACTTGCCAAAATTTTTTGTCCACGCTTCGAAACTTGCAATTTACAATGTCTCCCTCACGCGTGTAAGGAAACGCAATGACGACCTGCGATGAAGAAATGTAGCATGTAAGATGGCGCACGGGCAAAGAGAAAGTACAACCTTCGTCCAGGAAACTGAATTAAGAACAAATTTGTTCGTACATCTCCAGTTGTGTTGATGCATCGCACTTGATTCTTCTCAAGAGTATTGGCTGAAATGCCACGTTCGTGAAACCACTCAACAACCTGTTCCATACATAGCAATGTTTACTTCTTTAATATTGACCACTTGAATATGCTCAGGGACGGAAAGCAGACTGCTGCCCTACACACTAGTGACTTGCAACTCAGTAACCCAAGAGAGAGAGATTACGAGATTCGAACTAGGAGAAAAAGACTTATCTACTCTATATAATGATATATTTTACAAAACTACAATAGTATGACAGAGACTTACTTCAATCGGAGGGGGCTGAAGGGCGAGACTTTCGATGGTAATAGGCTGAGGCTTTACGTTTTGCTTCATCTCTTTTGCCACTTTCGTAGGTCTCGCCGTCCCATTTGTATGAGCTTCATCCTTGGTTCCAACGACCTGAATGTAATAGCATCAAGACGTTCAGCTTGATATAGATAAAATTAACTCGATTAGACCAACAAACTGTCAGAAAATGTCAGTACAACCTTGGCTTGAAGAAGAGAACTCGTAAGAAAATCTTAATCGATATCGAGTGTGTTCAGTCTCGACATGCGCAACATCTACCAGTTTACAAGCAAATACGATAATTTCCAAGACGGTACCTTGGTGGGTCCGGATCCTTTCCATCCACAGGTTCCTCTGTGGCATATCCACAGGGCAAGTCTGCAAGGACCACAGCAAAAATGAGCTAAGACTGACACAGAGAATAACGTCAGCAGGCTCCAATGCTGTCAAGCACTATCAAAACCGCAGTATCAAGGACTGCAAATATTAATATCCATTCTGAATTATATAATCTTGCTACTCAACCATGGCAAAAGAATACACAAAACGTGCATGTTGCAAGAATAGAAAGGTTTCAAAGAATTGGTAATATCGAATGAACATTCAGTGCCACATTTTCAAATTTATACTCTGAAGTCATCAAAAAACATTTCTATGCTTATGAAGTTTAATTTTAAATGAAAAACGATCCATATGATAAAATGGTGTTTCTCAGAATGCTTACCCTGTATCGTCAATGCCGACAGCAAGACTTTTTTCCCTGTTAGTGCCTCCATCACACTGCATTCAAACTCACGTATTCAGTAAGAACTCAACAAACAAGGAGACATTGACCAGTAATTGTTTATCCACCTTACATTGATCTGCTCTAGAAGAAATGCTCTGTTCAATCGAGGATAATACTTTATCAACACATTCTGATCAATTTAGAGGCTGTGTCCATCTCGAAACATCTCGGGGGAGCAAAGTGTCGTTTTATGTACAATATCTGGATACGCGCATTTATATGCTGTCTCTTCATTTTTTAACCTGAATAATGTTTTAACAGCTTTTTGTTAGCGATTCACAGAATGTATACATCTCAACAGGTATCGGCGGGAAAAAGCTTGATTTCAATGCAATATCTAGATGAGCGCAATCATAGGTTGTCTCTTCGGTTCTTAAACTGAAGGTTTGAGGGGGAAAGCGATTTCACCTCTGGGCAAACGATACGGTACTGTCCGGGGGCGTAGGATGGTAAAATTATGTTGACCTTAGCGAGCTGCTCGCGTGTAGTTTTCTCATTGTTCCTAGGAACGGGTTCTCTTTCTCGTGCCACTGCAATTTCCAAAAGCACTTCATTATTGTGCTAAATGGACACAACATGCACTAGTCTACACGCCAAACTACGACTGTGAGAAAATAAAACTGAATATAACAGCTACCTAGCCAACGGACAAAATTCACGTGCCCAGGTAATGGATCTTCTGGCATATCCAGTCCCCTATAGTGCACGGAAAATGGAATAGACTTCACCAGCACTGGATGCTTGATCAAACAGATCTGACTTGTTGAGCAAAAGACCTCAATACTTCTCATAAACTGCTTCGCGAGAGACTGTAGAGTTACATGAAGAAAGACATCACAGTGAAGGGGTTTCTCTACTCACTAGCTGCAGCACCCATGGAGCGGTGAATTGCCAGACTGAGAGATGTTCTGAAGCACCCATTGTAAAAACTTCGCTTTCCCCTGGTGAGCTGTGAAATAGGTTCCACACACCGTCGTGGAACTGTCCTACACGTCCGCAGCTGCAACGGTTTACAGCAAAGAGAAGGCAACACAGGTAGCCACCAAATGTGCCGGGCCAACCCCGTCGAAGCACTCCACACACTAGTGACCTGAATTCTCCCACCAGCCGCTCTCACATGCCCTGCCAGCACCATACCCTCTCTTCCTACTCCCAGTGTGTAATTTCGCTTCGTCCTTCTAGCGCTCCCGTGGGACCTAAATCATAATTCTCAGCATCATTTTGTGACAGTTGACCTGAAAGGAATCCGTTCCGTAACCTCAGCTTCAAAACTCCTCCGACGCAAAAGTCGAATTCCCTTACTCCGCCAACGTACCCTGTTCTTGTCTGCAATCCCTAGAAGCCCGTCGAACTAAATTTCTGGCATCTGAAGGATCGTCGGTGTAACACCTCGTCTGCAGAAGTCCAGTAAGATTCATTGGTGAGGCTTGTCCTGCTATCAAAACTAAACCAAACATTCATTCAGGCAAATCAGGGGGATAGAAAGCATAATCATTCAAACAAATTACACAATATTACCACATGTTCAGTGCACTAGTTAAGAAATTTCCGTTTGCAGCGAAAACACACCCAGCCAAAAAAAGAAAAAACAAAAAATTCAGCTACTGAAGCAAATGGGTTCCACAACTTAATTTATGTCGTCGGCAATCGGAGTTTCCCGTCACACATCGTGGTTAGAATGAGAATCAAGCACATGAGAATATTAAATACTGGAAATCTCCTCTCGGTCATTCCAGAAAATTAATGAAAGGAGAGTACAAGTCATCCAGTCACATTGGACACAGGTGGATTTTATATCTAAGTGAAAAAAAACTCAACCCACCGGGGCAATCACAAACTACTCCTCAACTGCCTGGTCCTCGCAGAATCACCCTGCCACGCACTAATTTCCTAGTGAACCCAAAAGCGCAGGTCGCTGGAGAGAATGGCGCTCCAGAGACAGAGTGTTCGACAAGGGTTTAGGACACTCCGAACCCTAGAGGGAATTCAGCTGAAGACGAGAAAGCAGTGTACCTCAGTTCGACAGCAACAGTCGTCACGTTTAAGCGTCCGGGAGATGCTGACAATTCAGAGCGCTTTCGAGCAGCAGCGGAATTTTGTCGGAAGTCGGATTATCCATCATCATCGAATTGGGTCTATTTTCGCCCAGAACTGTGTCTTTTCTGCAGCGCACTGAGGACCCAATATTGAACTATTATGTAACGTCCTCGGGAGATAGCCTTTGTTGCCCGTTGGCTTTCATCTCTGTACACTAATGTGGGGCCTTTCCAGTGTCTTTTACCTCCAGGACCTTGATGCCTTACATTATTCTCTGGTCCAAAAAAGCGCTTCGTTTTGAAAAAGGGCTTCGACTTGAAGGGGTTTCAAATCAATAGCAATATTTACATATCACAACAGATTTCTGTAACGTGGGAGTATATCCTAGTATCCAATAATATCGTAATTATTGGTATGTATTATTGCACTGAACATATCTCGATTTTCTAGGTCATAAGTTACTACAGTATGAAGAAATATCGAAGTGGAAAATATGTAACACTGTAAATAATGTATCCAACTACCTATGTTGTATTTTTTTTAAGCCAAAGCATTAGAATAAAGTACCTATTATTATTTTCTTGTGTAATGCATTTCTATTAAAAAAATTAGAAATCTGTTTAGAGTAGACTACACCAAAAATTTTAAAATATATAGCATGATATACTTTATCACAATCTTCCATAAATATAAAGACAGATTTACGAGATAATACAAGTTACCACAAAAATCAAGGAAGAATTAATGGTATTAGATGTCGTTTTATGAGATGCAATAGTTTTCCTCTCGATGTGGTCAGAAAAACAAACATGAGGAAATGGCGTCTAACCTCGTTGGACAAATTTATTTCCTTTAGGTTGTAGATTTGTCTTCCCACTTTTGGTTCAGGTCTGGCCTCTTTTCTTCTGTACGGCTTGGTGGTAAAAGTCCCAGTTTTTTCTCTATCCCCTTGGCTCACTTCTTGACTTACCTGCGGTGGGCAGAAATCACAACATTTAACGAAGATCGTGGCGTATCGGAAAATTAAGGATAAGAGTGCACGATTTATTTCTTTTGAATTAAGGTTCGATACCATTTGTGAGTTAATTATGTTAAGAATAAAACTATTCAACGAGAGATCTCGCGTTGAATTCAGGTAGAAACTACAAATAAAGTCATGTGGAAAATTTATAGATTGTGAAAAACCCCTAGTTTTATTCACCATGTACTTCCTGGAAAGAGTAATTATATTACATGGTTCTAAAATTGAAATGGGACATCGGATGGTTTTATGAACTATTATGAAAGTTTCTTTTCATTGCTATTCTTGAAACTATTGACGTGGTCCATATCTGAGAGTGCATTAAAAGTTATCAGAACCAATGGATTTAAACTTTACATGGACTGCGATTTCGGTATATACGTTTACCTTGAAGACGTCACAATACCCTTTGTTCAGGATCCTTCGAGTAATGATAAAACACATACGCATTAAAGTAAATAATATATAAAATCTTAGTCCTTGCACGAAAAGAAATGCAATCCAAAATGGATAGAGCAAATGCACCCTGATAAAACGTCTGAAAGGTCTTTGGAAACCGAAGCATCAATCGTCATTAGAAATGAGACAAGGACAACCAACAAACACGAACGAGCCGTACCGTAAATGCATTTGGAAGTGCATAATCGGCGGAGCAAGTGTTTTAGGGGCGGGTCAAAATTCCCGAAAATTGGGTACAGCAGAGGCGTTACAATGGACTGCGCATCGGGGAGTCTGAGAATGATGGCGATCCGAAGAGATGGTGACCGTGCATGCATCGGCTAACGTACGCGAGCGGGGGAGGCGTACGATGCCCGTGACTGTCCTCTCACTTCCGAAGACCCACGGACTCCCCGAAGGCAGGGCCTGGGAAATCTATTGAGAGCTCCAGCGTGCGCACATGGCTGCGTGCGAAGCCGCCAGATTCAAGAATTTGCGCTTTTCGTTCAGCGCTGCATAACGAATCCAGGTACTCTTTATTTTCACCAGGCCGACTTTTGAATTGCGCAACGCACACTCGATCCCCACCTCCGAGATCCCAATTTGCGAGTGCACTTGGATTAGTGCAAATGCACTTATTTAAGCCACGAGAGAAAACCATTTCTCGCTTTGCTCTGCTTCTCGACTGCAAGGCGTCCCCCTTTACAACATACATTTGAACTTCACAGCTCATGATACAAAAAACTGCATAATTCTGGAAAATGGTTACAAATCTCGTGGTGGCTGATGCTGTTATACAGTGTGTAATTAATTGAAATCTTGGACCTGATGTAGTTTTTATGTAAGCGAGGCAAGGTGCAAGGAATGTGATCTGCGTGGGAAGCGTGTAGGCGTGTAGTGTGCTTGGAGCAGGAGGTAGGAAGGGACCACTATGGAATTCGAGAATTTATGAGCGAGACCATGGGTTATGAGAGACTGAGCAGCGCACTCCACTTTGAAGCACTTTCGTCGTGCAAGACATATAGGATGTGTGACAATGTGGTTCTGTCCGGGATCGTTCTGCAGATCTTTGGCCGAAATCGACGATAAATTGGCAGCCTGAACTGTGGAGTGTCAGTCTGCGGAGGACTTGAATTGCACTGAGGAGAGAGGGATCAGTCTTCTTTTACATCGCCCCTTCTCGTCATCTTGCATTCCAGTGCAGAGCAAGGGGCGTTCTTTTGTGTGTGTGATTCCAGAATCTGACAGTACAATGGCGAAGGTCTTGGTGCTGTTAGCGGTTCTTGTACTGCAAGTTTTTAGGTGTACTGGTGATGAGACGAGTGGCACACCAGATGGAATGGAGGAGTGGGGCTACCTTGACGTCCGCGAAGGTGATTCACTGGAGCTCATAAGGTCACAGAGAGCTAAACATGAATGTGGGTTTCATAAGAGGAACAAGCTTCCCAAGACGGATGAGTGTGGTTATGGTCATAGTCTTCAGTCAGAGTTTTGCCGTTCAGAGAAAATTCATAGGTTTCGGTTAATGAGGTAGGAAGATTGTACGGTTGAAGGTCAATTTCCATTTTTCATGTATGTGGGTGCTAGCCACACACATGGAAATACCACGTATGCTGCGAAGTACCCGATAGCTACCAGTCATAGATACAAGACCTGGTTTTTATTGGCCAATGAGGAAAGGTTGGAGTTGGCTTCTGATTTGCTGCCATTGATACCTGTTACTGTAATTTCAGACTCCTCCCACCCTCCTACCTGCACAAAATTCTCGATGTTTAGGTTGGGCTAATTGAACGGACATTTGATCTTCCTGTGCTCCCGCAACCTAGTTGTCAACGAGTTAGTTACATGAATAATATCTTAGTTGTTAATCTTATCACTTTTTGCTTGACCAGTGAGCTATTTTAGTCCGTGTCTTCGTAGGTGTTCATCGTAAGCAGGGTTATGTAGCATTTCGTTTGACAAAAGGATATGTCTTCATTCTCTGCCAAGAAGATGCATCTGATTTTGAGCTTTTCGATCCAATGCCTGGAGCAAAGCAGACTGAGAGAGTCTAAAGACGAAATTCAATCATGTAACAGGAGCGCACATGTTTTGGTGGCTGTACTACAGTAACGTGCTCGAAGTGAAGTCCACACCTATAGTATTCTGGCTACAAGGTGGTCCGGTATGAAAATGATGAACGTCTTAGTTCATTTTATTTCTTGGCTTCCAAGTTTGCTTAGCAACTCTTTCAATTGCTTAGCAGGATGCATAAATATCGAGTGCCGGCATCATGCAGGGTGCTTCAGGTGTGGGTTTCGGAAACTTTGATGAGATCGGACCTATATCAACGACTTTGGAAAAGCGGGAGAGCACATGGCTCAAAGTTGCCCATTTGCTGTTTGTGGTAATTAGATCTTTCTAGCTTGTCCGATGTTTTTAAAGCTGGTGTAACTCTTTCTTCGTATAAACCTTCAGAATAGACGTGACTTTTTGTTTGGTTGTTTTCCTGAAGTTATTTATAATACTGTTTCTGATATTTCCACCTCCGGATGCTATTTTGGAGAATCCAGGATAATCCAGTGGGCACAGGTATTCTAATCTTTGCTTCTAACTCGCACATTAGAGTGTTCCTTTCTTCTTGATGACTTGGTTTTTTCTGTGAAAATTCTGTAGAGGTACTAAGACATCACTTGTGGTTGGTGCACAGGTTACAGCTACGTTGATGATGAAAACCTGCTTTGTACGACCAACAAGGAAGTTGTTGATGACCTTGTGTCTTTCGTGAAAACCTTCTTCAATACACATGAAGCTCTCAAGCAGTCACCTTTCTACATTGTGGCCGAGTCCTATGGTGGCAAATTTGCGAGTGAATTCGGAGTTGCAATTCAGAAGAACTTAAAGGAGCTTGATTTCAACTTCAAAGGTGAAGTATCAAAGAACTTACTGTTTTCTGGAGTTCAACCAAATGGAGCTAACACCTGGCAATGCATGATGTATTTAAGCACACAAAGCACTGGTAATCCTTTGTACTCTGCCGTAAGACTCATGAGAGTATTATGGCTGTTTCAGGAGTTGCTCTCGGAGATACATGGATATCACCAATAGATTTTCTGGTATCTGATTTCACCAACAACCTAGTTTGAAGTTATATAAATGGCAGTTGATTTTCGGTGTATATGGAGTTCTATTTCCCAGATATTTTATCAGTTATGATGCTTGATGTCACTAAACGACAGTCATCCGTATGGAACTTATTAACTTATCGCGCAGTGACAGCAGTGGGAGCTTAGTATCGAGAGAGGCTAGGATTGTTGACCATAGATATATTGTCCTGTACGCAAATTTTATTTGGATAAATTTGTTGAATGAACAGCAAAGTACGCCGATTAACACCTTCATGTGCATGCAGTATGCCTGGGGGCCTCTACTTAAGTCATTTTCATTAGTTGATGAATCTGCCAATGCGCGCATTGACAGGTACTTAGTTCTAGAACTGCTTATTTTGAAGAAGTTTTTATAGTGAAGAGGTTTCGCTTAAAATGGCCCAAAGAAATGCAAGGCTTTACATCCCGCAGTATGCAGGATACATGCAGATTACTACGGGTATCCTGCCTATTGCGGGTATCCAACTCTTTTGTAAACTTAGATTCTCGATTTCTCTTTTGGTTTACTGCAGTTATGCAGTTTTGGCAGCATCGGAGATGCAAAAAGGGAACTTTTTGAATGCCACTTACATCTGGGGAGACATGGAAGAAGAAGTATTGATAGCGACAGACAATGTGGTGAGAAGATATCATGACAAGCATGATTGTACTTAGTGATTATCTTTTACATTTCGAAGAATATATGTGGACCTTTAATAGCACTGGAGTCTTGTGAGTTGATCGGTGTCCATGTAGCTTATAAGTCTACTACGCTTGTTGATACATAACCAGTAATCGCTTTCGTTTGCTCAGGACTTTTATAATCTTCTGAAACATGAGAGTAACGAGGAGTTGCAATATTCTTCGCATAAGTCCCATTTGGGTGCTCGCCTTTTGAAAAAAAGTGCACCTGATCCCTTGACAGTCATCATGAATGGACCCATTCGAGAGAAGCTCGGAATAATCCCTAACTCTGTCCAGTAAGTTTATATCCATAAGCTCACCGGCCAATTGAGACATAACAATTATTTTGCATAGCTATGCCCTTGAAAAAACATGAACATTTACATTATCATGTCAGGACTTGCAACAGGAGGTTCAGTTGATAGATGAATGCTGTTGCAGATGGTCTCAATCTTCAGGAGCAGTGTTTGGTACTCTCTCTGCCGATTTTATGCTAGATACGATTGACAAGGTAAAGACATGGTGGGAATGCAAGTATCATGTTAATTTCATCATTGGCTTTTATTCTGTTTCAAATGTATTTCAAGGCAATAGCATGCGCTTATTGAAAATAAAATTTACGTGGAAATTGTAGTCCTGAGCGTTTAGTTGTTAGAAAGTAAGACAATATACAGACTAACCTGTCGTATCGTCATTAGGTGGATGAACTGCTTGCGTTGGGCGTGAAGGTGACTATCTACAGCGGGCAGGTAAGGGTTGTTTCGTTTTATTTGGTTTCTTGATGTAAAAGCAATGTAGAAAGGTGACTATCTACAGCGGGCAGGTAAGGGTTTTTTCGTTTTATTTGGTTTCCTGATGTAAAAGCAATGTAGAAATGGTTTTAAGTTTGAAAGAAGAACCTGGACTTCATGCTGTAAATATCTGCATGCATATTTTATGTACAAACTTGCCTCAGCACATCAAGCGAGCAGGTAAGGTTTGTTTCGTTTCACTTGGTTTCTTGATGTATAAACAATCTAGACATTTAATGAAGCTTGAAAGAAGAACCTTGGACTTCATGCTATAAATATCTGCATTTATCCTGTACAAACTTGCCTCAGCATATCAGGCGTGACTTTTTGTGTTCTGTGAATTGTGCAGTTGGATTTGATCTGTTGTACCACCGGTACAGAGGCCTGGGTTCAAAAACTCAAGTAAGATGAATGCGTGATTACCAGATTTGTTTTTTATGTTGCTCACTGACCGATGACAAGCATTAGTACGGAAATAAGTTTGTGACGAGACTAGGATGTAAATTTCAACCAGTTGGTTGGAGTTTTTTTTCACAATCATATGATTCGGAATACCAAAAATGTAACAAAGTTTACATTTTGCCATTCATATAAGAAAGTGCACATGGAAATTGTGATAAGTTATTTTCTATCACTGTACGTGTTGTATAGGACGTCATATGTATGTCATCAGGCACATGGTCAAGTCCCTCATTAATTTCCGGTCCTATATCAATTGATGAAGATGGTTGGAAAAACTTGTTCTGATGGAACTCTTGTGGCGATTCTTCCAGGTGGCCTGGTCTAGCCGAGTTCAACAGAGCTGAACGCAAAGCAATATCTTGTGACGAAACTCAGACTTCAGCTTTCGTCAAACAGCACGAGAACTTGACGTTTTACTGGATCATGAATGCTGGTCACATGGTACGTTCATATAACTTACCGGTTTTAAAAAACAGTTTTCTGATTTTGTCCAAATTGTAATGCGCTTTACTTGAGTACATTACATGTTGTGAACTAGAAGGTCATCTATGAAGTTCTTGGAGTAAATGAAATACACACAAATGAAGTGCTGTAGACAAGGCTTCATTTAATTTGCTTCAGTAATCATATCCTTGAATGAGAAATCCCAATATTGACACACAGGTCAGACAGGTCAGATTACATTGCCCACTCTCGAACAAGCAATAAACTCGATTCTAAATCAGGGAAGCTACACCACTTCCACACTCATCAGTGATTTCCAATCCCTGCAAGGTGTATTTGTCTGAAGCGCTTCTTTCAGCTAGTTGAAAAAAGCACATTCATAAGTCTGAGATCAGTTCTGTGTCAGGATCTTGAATCCCAAATTTGTGGTGACCAATGACCCTAATATTGTTTCGAATATACAGACAGTAACTCAACGCCACTGAGTTTTGCCAGTTATTCGAATATATTCGAATAACTGACAAAATTGCCAAGCTCAAAGGATATTATCTCCCAGTATTACCTATTTATCAGCTTGAATTTTCTTCTTCCACATTTCATATTCATATTTCCGCTTGAATTTCTGACACGATAGTCTGAAAAGTAGTACTCTGGAGGTTTTGTAAATGTCTATTTGTAACTCACATGTGATGATTCCATGTACATGAAATCTTGATGTCTTTGCCGTTTGAAAAAAATTAATATTTTTTCCATGAAATTTAAATTGAAAATAAGTTAAAATTCGTGTACAATACGTAAATACTTAGGACTATCACCTTTAAAATCCACAATCTTCGTCAAAAGAAACGCGTTTCTTGTTGTCCTCTAACCGTTGATGGTGTCTGTGAAAAGACAGGGAAATAAAATTCTGTAATGTGTTTGTGCATGTTCCAGGTTCCAACCGACAACCCATGCATGGCATCGAAAATGCTGAAGCTGATCATAGAGGAGGGTAGCAAGACGTTGCCGTCCACAAAGAAGGCAAAGTCAAGCGTAGTAGACCGTCACAGGAATGGATTGTCTGCGGAAATGTAGCCTGCTTACAATGTCGCCATATAAGCTCGCCACGTTGTTGCCCGGGAAGTATTAAGTTGTGCTTTCATCGTAAAGCTTCGACGATGACATCTAAGAAAGCTGTAATTAATCAATCTACAAGTTTGTGGAAGGTTTTCTGAATTGAAGAGAAGTGTATCATGTACTGAATGCTCTATTAAAATCCTAAATTTTACTGCTGGAGCCGACGAAAATACAATCCGTGTCCGTTATGCACAGCCGTTCACCCTGCAGAAGTTCATTAAATGCAGCTTTTTCTAGGTCCGAGAAGAGAATTGCCGGAAAGCGCAGTAGAAAAGTCCGATCTAGTATTGAATTCGTTCAAGGCGCGATGGGTTGTCAAAATCGAGCTGATTGCACATTCTGTCTTTATGACACTGGCGCGCACCGTCTCAACACGTCATATGTTTCTCCACCTTCGACGCAGTATCTGTGCCAGGAACAGTCAAACAAATCCTTTACTTTGAACAGGACAATCAAGCCTTCATCTTCATGATCCGAAACATACACAGCTCAATGAAAGCATGAAGACTATCGAAGTGTTCTCATTGGTTGTACAACTTGTCAGAGTCAACTCATTTCTATGAGATCGACTTAGCACGAGGTCACTAGATTCACGACAACAATGTTGAATGCAGGTGACTTTGGTTAGACTAATGAGAACATATTCACGTCAGTGACCGATCATTTGCAAACAGAATGTTGGAGCTAGACCAGCTACATCAATTCGTGAGTCACTGTAATTTACAAGTTGTTAATGAGGTGGTTAAAGCGCAAGTCATACTCTCTGACGTCATCCAGCTCCTTGGTTCCAGTCTTTATTCAATGTAAGAGATTAAGGTCCAGAATTTCCTGAACTTGGTCTCCTTAGGAGAACAAGAAAGAATCCTCCATAGAATTACATTGTGTAGTGGAGCTGTGGGACCGGCTCGTTAGACTATCTCTTGCGTACTAAATCACTTGCTTGCGTCTCTGTTGGGGTGAAGAGGCTCAAGCTTCTCTGGATACGGGCGATTGGGTTAAAGCAAGTGTCACATGTGGACTGTATTGCCTGCTCGGGCTGCCCACATGAATAGCTCGCTTTAGTCAACCACTTAGTCCACTTCATACTCAACACTGCAGTTGCTTCATACACAATCCCGTTCTTTGGCTCCTTCAGAGTTGAAATCAGAGTTTCCAGCGCTGATTTGGTCCCGTTCGAACGATTTGCTGCAAGAATCAGGATGCCTCTTCCATCAGAGGTGTCTGGGCATTATCCGATATTCCTCAACGCCAGCAACTTGCGTACTATACTGAAAGTTAAGTCAATGGGAGACAAATCACCATGTTGCCGTGAAACAGGGCTTCAATGACGCAGAGTCCATAATCATCTCCATGCAAATCTGTATTTCTCGAATCCTCCTAAAAGAAATACTCTTGTTCGGCAACAACATCACAATCCAGTGTATAGCAAGCAGTGTATGGAGCATTCAGAAGAGACACCGACAATCATATGGCCATCATCAGTGAGTTGCGTTTTCCCAGAAAGACTCTAACTGGCTGAAGTCTGTATCAACACGTGGACCGGGCCAGAAGCAAAGTGAATAGTCTCTGAGTATGAACGAATCCGGAGTCGCTGAGCTTCAGACTCCGAATAATAGACGTTTCTCCGTCATTAAGAAAGTCATGCAGTAATAACTTCATAAAGCACAATGCAAAGGAAACTTCATGAATTGCTCCTCTAGTCTTCTCGTGCAGTATTCGCAGAGCGCTCATGATTGTGATGCACTAGCACTCGGTCGCCCTGTCATCAAGCAGGTAAGTTGTTATCATATTTGCAGTCATGGAGTATGTGGGGCCACCATACGTCTGAGTAGGAGCTTTTCAAAGAAATCAAGCCCGTGTTGACAGGGACCACTGTGCTCGTTTACTCCGTGGCCCTGGCGGCTGCTCCATAACAGAACGCCGGGTGTCTGACAACACGGGCCATTGGGGGTACCCTCGCCCTTGGTAATGTAATGTAACCTGTTGGTCTCATCCGGTACAAGTTTGGGTACGAGGATAAAATTAAATTAAGGGTAGAGCCAAATGGGTTATCCGATAATTATTTAGTAATTTTAATAACGAAAAAACAAAAATATGTACACTCTCAAGATTATTTATAATATAATTTTGCACATTCTACTGAAAATATCCAAGTAAATGATCTCTTCCTTTTACTCTTTAGAGTAGAAATAATATGGTAATTATCGGATAACCTTGATTTTTTATACTTTAAGGTGTAGATAATAGTGTAATACCAGGTAACAGTGATGTAAGAATAATTTTTAAACTTTTAAGAATTCGTATCAAGTAACATGTAAAACAAAGATAGACAATAGTGACACGACTAATGTAAAGGGTAAAGTCACATGGTTTACCAGGTTACTTTGCCGAGGCTACTCTTGATATGCACGGTGGTGTATGACATTTTACAAATGACGATCAAGAGATATTGAGACTTTGGAGGGGTTCGGATCTGGAGTGAGAAGAGCGCATTTCTCACTTTACGTGGACAGTTCTCATCAACGCAACAATTCGATTGGCCATTATTTTCATGATAAACCTTCAGCAATATGGATTCGATGGTCAAACCTTCTTCTACGGGCTATACTGGAAGTGGTTTACGTAGGACTTGCGTAACGCAAATTGCAGACCCAAATTGATCCTGCCCGACGAGGACCTCTCCCCAACCCCGGTAAGGAAAATATTGGTTCCAGGATCCCAGAATTTAGGAGTCCTGGATTAGGCCTCCTAAATTCTGGGATTTGTTAACAAAATCCCATAATTAACCAAAATTAAATCTTGCGTCATCACAAATTTACCTTTGCCACAAGTAGATAATGCCACGTTACCTTTGTCACAAGTAGTATTATGTTACGTATTCTTCGTCTTTGTATAGAAACCACTCTCTCATAATACTTTCCGATCCTCACACGTGAGAAAGTCAATCAGCGTCGAGTAGTACCTTGCGTATCAACTCTATTTATTGACAATTACCAAAATTAACACCAGTAGCATCCACATTTGAAGTTAAGTTAATTTCGTTAGTTATGGGAATTCCCAGGCCTTATGAGGCCTGCCCTAATGCCCAGACTTTGATTCTAAGACAGGGCCCGGAGTTTATTCTGTCGGGCACCCCAAAATCCAAAAAACTGTCCCCGTGTCACAGCATGTTATGATGTGTTCCAGACGAAACAATGCCTGAGCACTCTATTAGTAATTTAATTAACCCTAGCTTGAAATGGAGTGGCATCAAGCTACCATTCATGAGGGTTATGAGAAGTAACATTAAGATTAGATTTGGTTAGCATTTCTCACTCTTCAATTGTCATAAACTTTAAATTCCTCTAAGATTCCACCCTCATTTCTTAATGCTTCCGCTCTCGAAAGAGTGATACTGTATGTTGATGGAGAAATGTATACCATGATATCTGTAGTTGCTATATATGCACATATTATGGCTCACACTTGAAGCTCAAACGTAACCTTCAACTCCAACCTTATTTTAATTTGACTAATGGATGCCAAATCACATATGGTTATAGGTACAATACAAGTTTTATTCTTTATATGCACTATTCCACTGATAAGTACTGAGATGAAGTAATTTTGAAATTAAAAGTTACATTTCGTATATCTGTGAAAGGCCTCAGCAAGGTGAGGTAAACTTTTAAGGTTATCCAGTAAAAGTGTAAAAGGTAAGGATAAAGGTAGAGGTTTGGCTATAGGGTAGGGTAAAGTGAAGGTAAAGGTAGAACCATATGGGTTACCCCGTAATTACCTGGTAACACTCGTACCAGCGAAAACAAAATTGTGGACATTCTCAGAATGTGATTCTTCACATTCTGTTGAAACGATCCAGGTAAATTGTACTAAACAGTTAAGTTACCTTTACCTTCTAGGGTAGAGATAATAGAGTAATTACATGGTAACTCTGATCTTTTACCCTTTAGCGGAAAAGTATTAATGTAATTACCCTAACTTTGATGTAAAAGTAATTTTTAAACCTTTAAGAATCCTTATAAGGTAACTCGGAAATTACCATGAGATAGAAATAAAAGGTAAAGATAAACAATAGCTACACGAAGTAAAGTAGAAGGTAACGTGACCGGGTAGACCATGGGTTACCTTTTACGTTAACTTGCCGAGGCCTATATGTGAATTTGAGAACAATTCTGGGCATGATTGTCATCACTATCATCAGGTTTTAGCTCCACATGTACGAATTGAGGATCAGATGCATCGAGAAGAGTAAAAGACGAAACAGAAGAAGAGGATCTAGTGGAGAACCATAGAGTCGTAACGAGAGTATCAACACAGCTACGATCCCGTGTCACAAACTACAACTCAGAACAAAAGGTGGCATCAGTTTCAATCTCACATGTTGCGTATTCCCGACTCGTGATTGCCATTGGATCATCTAAACGTAGAGACGAAACGCTAGTATCAACAGGTCTACGATCTGTGTCACAAAATACAATCTAGCAGAAAATGTGACATCACTCTAACTTGTTACGTTTTCCGCATCTCGCCTTTGCCATTGGATACATCGAACCACGTGCGAGGGAAGACTTGACCTCGAGATTGCATTTGATTTGGTGAGATGCATGAATTTTTCATATTCCCTATTTTTATATGAAAATAAATTTCATGTATTTGTTAAAATATTAAAAAATTTCCCATTTATTTATAGACATAGAAAGAGTAGTATATCTCTATATAGCATGATCATACATTGAAACCTTGTTAAATGAGGTTTTATTTGACTCGGACCCGAATTGATGTGTAATTATCACTTTGAAGCCGGTTAAAATTATTGGAATTGATAACCATCATATATTACAGTAAAAACCTTGCACTTCTAGATCAATATCGACTTCTTACCACCCTAGCTGATTGCAATATATACAAAATTTTAATCTATTTGAGGAACCCATCTTTATAAGCCAAAACAGATTTCACATAATCAATATCATCATGTATTATAGTACTCTATAGGTGAAATATGCACCAATTGTGAGAACCCAATCAGTGTAATAGCACACTTAGAAAATAAATATTGATTTACCAAGCCAAGGTCCAACCATATTAGTTGGCATTTTCAAGGAGTCTAACTGCACTGCTCTTGTTAGAACCAGATACCATATTCTACATGTAGTAAGAAAA